TCGAGACCGAGGCTACCACGATGACAAAGGCTGAGAAAATGCTTCTTGATCATCAGCGTGCTGGACATCGTAGTCTACCTGGAATAGTAGTCCGATGCCCTGCCTGCGATCTCGCGAAAAGCAAAGGCGCGCAACATGCAAAAGTAAAGAAAGAATGCTACAAAGTTGAGAAATTCAATGACCAAGTTGATTTTGACTTCACTGGACCTTGGGAACCTGACTACTGGTCGCAAAGATGGGCTTTGAATGCCATCGATCAAGCAACCAGCTGGCCTCGTTCTTTCATCTGCAAAAGCAAAGCAGAAGCAGGCGCGAAACTGCAGGTCTGGATAAATGAAGAGGGACCACCGAAAAGAGTGAGATCCGACAACGCGAAAGAGTTCAAGGAACCAAATATCACTTGGAAAAAGACAGCACAGAAACAGCCCCCGCCGATTCATACTGACTTTTCAGCCCCATATGAGCCGCAAGAGAGTGGGGAAGTTGAAAGATACAACCAAACTCACCAAAACGGAGTAAGAGCTATGATGGTCGGAGTTGATAAACGTATGTGGAATTATGCAGCTCGCACTTTCTCACACATATTCGCCCGAACCCCGACAGCCAAAGGAGGCGAGTCGCCATTTGAAAAACGCTTCAAAAGAAGACCTTCCATCAAGTACCTCCGACGGCTCGGATGCTTGGTCTACGCGAAGGATCACTCACAGAAGTCGAAGCTTGAAGACCGGTTTACCCGTGGAATCTTTCTGGGCTACGCTCAAGAATGAAAATTCTACATACCTGGTAGGCATGTGGTCTGCAGATGGTCGATGTAAGAAAAGCTCCAAAATCCGTTTCGGGGTTCACGAAGTGAAATGTTGCAAGTTTGATGAATCAGCGCTGGTCAGCAAAATAGATGATCTAAAGCCGGACGCTGACAAGCTGATGATTGATTTTCCGAATCCGGCGCGTCTGGGTGATAGTTCGCAGCCCGTAGAGCCGAATGTGCCCGCTGCAGATCGCGATCAGAGCAGTCGTGGTCAGGACGCTCCGAGGGCCGATCGTTCGAAAGATGAAGAAGATGCGGACAAACGCAATTCTGATAATGCAAAGGATAACGTCGAAAATGACGAGGGCAAGAGTTTCGAAGGGGGTGAGCAACCTGAGGAAGGGGGTAAGGAAAAGCAAAACCCTAATCAGGTTTGGCTCGATATGTTTTCAGATGAGGCGCCTGAGAACTCCCCGGAACAGAAAGCAAAAGCTGAGAATGGAAATCGGAAAAGGAAGTCTAATACAGTTGATGCCGATGCTGCAGACAATGAGACACAAGAAGCGCCTAGGATCCTCGTTGAAGGGCCTACACGAAAGAAACTTCGCAAGAAGGGCCGAGGCCAGGACAAAAAGAAGCGCAAAGAACACAACGACAAAGGCAAGAGTCGTGGTCCTCGAGCAAAGAAAAGACAAAGAGCCAATCTTGCGTCGTCGTCTGACTTACTGAAAGATCTACCAATGGAATTTGAAAAAGAAGCGGAGGCTATATTCCAGATTCGTCATGAATTAGAGGAAGACGAAACTCCTTACCTCTTTGGCTTGCAGCACACTTGGGCCAAGTGTCTGGAAAGTCCTGACGCAATCAAATGGATCGAGTCAGATACAAAAGAACGCCTAGCGCTAGAAGAAGCGAAAACGTGGAGGCATGCAACCGCAGAAGACATCAAAGAGATGGGCGATAAGTTAAAAACTATCCCGACGGTTTGCATCTACACGAAGAAAAGAGACGGACGCTACAAGTGTCGTCTAGTAGCACTAGGAAACAGGCAAAAGCTATCTCTACAAGGAGAAATATACAGCCCAACTGTGAGCCATGCCGCAAACAGGTATTTACTTGCTGAAGCAGCAGCACGCGGATGGAAAGTTAGAAAGTTCGATATTTCCAATGCGTTTGCATGCGCGTGCAGCTCTAGGTGACGAGATCGCGTTGCGTCGCCTGCCCAAGCATAACGGCTGGAGCAAGAACAAAGAGAAAGGCGATGTTGCCAGGCTGTTAAAGTCGTTATACGGTCTGAAGATCAGCCCACGCCGCTGGTATGACGAATATGCTGGCAAACTCAAGAAGTTAGGCTGGGTCGTATCCGAAACTCAAGAAGATCGACTGTATTTCCCCATGGTTACCAAATTCCCACGCAGACTTGGACTCGCCGTCGAGTTCCACACTTCCGATAAGATCGCTAGTTGGTGGAATGTTGTATATCAGTTGCGTTGCCCGGCCTGATATCGCATTCGCAGTACAGAAAGTAGCGACGCAGGTAGCTAGTCCAACCGACCAAACGGCAAAAGATGCCAAGCGTATTCTAGCGCATTTGAAAGGAACCAAATCGCAAGGATTAGAATACAGCAAGCAGCAAGAAAAGAAGTTCAAAGAAATTTACACAAAAGCCACAGAGCTAGAAAACAAGGAATACAGAGACACCATTGCGCTCCGCGATGCAGATTTCGCTGGATGTTCTGTAAGTTTTCGATCCACGTCAGGCGCAATCTTATATCGACGCGGAGTTCCCATCTGTTGGAAGTCGGAACATCAATCGACTCGAGCTACGTCAACAATGGAAGCCGAGTATTGCGCGAGGTATGACTGCGTAAGGATGACTATGGGTCAAGGATATTTGAATTGGTTTTCAGAACAGGAGTCAGGATCTCTGCCGTTGATCTTCAACGATAACAAGTCCGCGCTTGCGTTGAGTCCGACAACCGTAGCCACGAAAAGATCCAAGCACATGAGTCTTCGACTACATCTGGCACGAGACTACGTAAAAGACTTGTGCTATATTAACACGGATATCAATCTAGCGGATGGATTGACGAAACCACTTCCAGGAGAGAAGTATACTCAAATCTTCAAAGCTCCTTCAAGAAAAGCTAATGAAGTATTTGCGAACGCCCATTTTGTCGATTTCAATAATCTCTGGGATTTATTGAGGCGAATTTCACAAGAATTCATCACATCAAAGATTTCTCGAGATGATTTCGTGTTCATTCGGAAGGGGGAATGTAGGTATGATCAAGAAACACGATGCAAATCGATCTTGACAACCAACCCGATATTGATATCGATTCAAGACCCGAAACCTCAAAATTGAAGTCACGATGTAAATCAAGATGAGTTGACGATGATTCAAAATGAGGTCTAACCGAAATCACGATGTAAGTTTGATGGTGACGATCAACGATTGTTGATCTGATTTTAGCGTATACTATGGCGATTCGAGACTGAATTTGAAGTACCCCAAAACTTGAATGTTTACCCGCAGGCTGTACGTTAGTACCATTCAGATTGATTGCAACTTGAAACGCCTTCCAACAGGGCCTATTAACACCTTGAATCAAAGATGACCAGTGTTCAAATCGCCCGCGTTTCTTGCGTTGTTGATTGTCTTCCGACATTTTGCAAATCAATATGAAGATCGACCGACCGCTCCATCGCTTGTGGCAGCAAAGAAAACTCAGATGCTTTTCCTAAATTTCCAAAAGAACTTTTATTACTCTGATTGACACGGACACTCTTTATCATGTTTTCCTTTTCCATATGTATCGCCTTATCACAACATGTTGCAACAGACGAAAACCAGAGCTACGCATCAAAAAAACTCAACACGCAATGTCTTTGCTATGCTTCGCGGTTTTCGAAAATAAAGCCCACTCTTTATGTTTAGTGTCTGAAAAGCATTTTTTTTCAGGCTCTGGCACCCCCTCGAGCTAGGAATTGCGTGTTCTCAAAATCATACAAGGTGTCCCCAGACCACCAGGATCAGAGGCGATTCCAATTTTTTATGCAAAACAATGCTCGTTATCGGAAGCAGATCTTGCTGCGCGATGACAACAGTGCTCGCTATCGGAAGCAGATCTTGCTGCGCGATGATCACGTTGAATATGCTTTGCGATTCCAAAGCGGTGCTTTTTGTCATGGATTCCACAGAAAAAAGCCAGAAGAGTCCGGATATAAGAAATGGAGTAATACACTCAGAAGGAAGAAGGCCAGAACGGGCGGGCCAGAAGACCTGAGGACATATCTGCGACCGGGCGGACCAGAAGGCCCAGGCGGGCGGGCCAATTTTGGCCCCGCGGGCGGAGCTTCCTCCGGTGCTAGTGCAACTCAAAACTGAAACCGGGCGGACCAGATTGGCCAGGCGGGCGGGCCAATTTTGGCCCCGCGGGCGGAGCTTCCCCCGGTGCTAGCGCAACTCAAAACTGCGCCCGGGCGGACCAGAAGGCCCAGGCGGGCGGGCTAATTCTGGCCCCGCGGGCGGAGCTTCCCCCGGTGCTAGTGCAGCTCAAAACTGAAACCGGGCGGGCCAGATCGGCCGGGCGGGCGGGCCAATTTTTTTTGGCCCCGCGGGCGGAGTTCCCCTCGGTGCTAGTGCAGCTCAAAACTGAAACCGGGCGGACCAGATTGGCCAGGCGGGCGGGCCAATTTTGGCCCCGCGGGCGGACCTTCCCCCCGGTGCTAGCGCAGCCCAAAACTGCGCCCGGGCGGGCCAGAAGTCCAAGGCGGGCGGGCCAATTTTGGCCCCGCGGGCGGAGCTTCCCCCGGCGCTAATGCAGCTCAAAACTGAAACCGGGCGGACCAGATTGGCCAGGCGGGCGGGCCAATTTTGGCCCCGCGGGCGGACCTTCCCCCCGGTGCTAGCGCAGCCCAAAACTGCGCCCGGGCGGGCCAGAAGTCCAAGGCGGGCGGGCCAATTTTGGCCCCGCGGGCGGAGCTTCCCCCGGCGCTAATGCAGCTCAAAACTGAAACCGGGCGGACCAGATTGGCCAGGCGGGCGGGCCAATTTTGGCCCCGCGGGCGGAGCGGCCCCCGGTGCTGGCGCAGCTCAAAACTACGCCCGGGCGGACCAGAAGGCCCAGGCGGGCGGGCCAATTTTGGCCCCGCGGGCGGAGCTTTCCCTGGTGCTGGTGCAACTCAAAACTGCGCCGGCCCGGGCGGACCAGAATGGCCAGGCGGGCGAGCCAATTTCGGTCCCGCGAACAGCCCAGCCCACAGCGCTGCTGTGAGTAAAGTGCCTTGCTACACTGAGCGACCCCATACTTAAAACGCAGCGGCTCACTGGTTTCTGCCATGATCGCGCTCGCTAGGCGCCGCGCTGCGAAAACTCTAAAAAGACCGGAAGAAGTAAAGAAACAGAAACGCACCACTAGCCTAAATATAATTTTTCATTTGCCATCCATAAGATAAGTGCGAAACAAGTCGATCAAGATAAAACCATGCTTGAATATATCCGTCAAAAGAGAAACTTTAGAAGTTTTGTCGACGACCTCCTACGTTGATTTGCCTCACGCGCGCTAATCTGCTTCATCGTATTCCCGTCTTCTACCTCGCTCTCCTCCACTGTGATATCCTCCAGAAACGCTCCGCCACCCACGGTTGCACTCCCCTGCTGACTGAGTTCCTTCTGCGGCGAGCAGACCTTGACAAGCAGCTGCGACGTCTTTCGTGCGGCGGGAGCGAGCGTGCGTTTGTACAGCAACGGCACCAGCAAATCCCCCGTAAAGCTGACGACGAGAGTCAGAAAGGCGATAATGTATAGGCCGACCATGTGCCGCACCTGCATCTGCATGCCGTTATCGCCGCCACCCGCGGTGGCAGCCGCGGTGGTGTCTGTCCCCTCGCTCCAGGCGTCTAGGTCAGGGACGGTCTTATCACGGTACCGCTCGTGCAAGTAGAAAAAATCGCCCTGGTCGTACAGCCGCGCGCTCAGGTAACTGTAGGAAAGGGCGATGTCCCGGCTGACCGGCGTCGCCACGCCCATGGGCAGAACGGGCGGCCCCACGACAATGAGATCGTGATCGACCAGAAACTTCTGAAAATCTTCCCGCGCGCGCACGTCGTGCTCCGGCAGCAGCACCCCGTCGCAGCGCCGCAACACCATGCCTTGCATGGTCTGCTTGCTCCCGGGAAACACGAGCAGCGACAAGGCGGGATGCACCGCGTGCACGGCCTTCGCCACGTGCGTGGCCACGCAGACCCGCCGGCAGGCGTCCTCCCCGTCGTAGATCGCCGGATCGCTCCTACCAGCCGCCGTGTTGTCCTCCACACTGTCCGCCAGCACTGACCCGGGCGCAAACCGGCCGCGCGCGTAGCACTTCGTGATATCGGTCACGCCGCAGTGCCGTGTGTGCTCGAGCATCAGGTTGGAGGCCAGATTCGCCGTGTAGGAGGTGATCGTGACGAAAATGATACAGGCAAGCAGGTACTTCACCGTACGCCCCTTGAACGTCGTGCACTTGTGGGGCACGTCCAAGTCCAACACCAGCAGCCCATAAAGCGACAGGTAGACGGAGGTGCAGAGTGCAAAAAATGCAGTCTTGCGCCGTTCCGCGCTGCACCTTTCATATCCAAAACAGAGACGACCGAGAACCGTCTTCTCCGGGTCGTCGTGAGGAAGTTGCTTATATGCGTCGCTTGAAGGGCCGCCCGCACCTGGGGTTTGATTAGCAACCGACCCAGAGCTCTTATCCTGCGACGCCGTTCCGGCGTCGCTGCCGTTGCCGCGGACGTCGCAGTGGTGGTCCCGTCTCTCACTCTTGCTTTCCTCCTCAGCCCATATAATACTGCATTTTTGTTCTTCTTGCGGAAGAGTTGGTGTACAAACATCGTTTTTGTCTGCACAGTTTTGATGATGTTGAAGGTCTGGCTCACTGTGCTCCTCGGAAACGCAGGCCGGACCCTCAACGAGCACGAGCAGAAGCCCACCCCCCACGCAGATGAAAAATGTTGCCAACCACAGCGTGGGTGAGAAGGGCGAGAACACGCCGAACCATTGGGTCGGGTCCGACCAGAAGCTGCGCCTCTTGTACCGCCGCACGAGAAGGCGCTGGTCGCCGTTCAACAGAGGCTGTGTAAATGCGGTCATCGCGCGTCGGTTGTCCACCAACCAAGCCGCCGTGGGACACACGTCGATCACCCCCATCTGCACATCGTGAATGCACGCGTCCCAGGCCGATTTAAAGGTTTCCCGGGAAAACGCGGTCAGGCTGCTTCTAGATGTACTAGTTCCCGCACCGGTCGTGGACGCCGTTGCACGATTCGGCGCGAAGACCTGTGTCGTTCCTGCGTGCGTCACCTCCCGGAGCGAGAATCCGCCCTCGATCGAGATGGCGCGCAGATAATCCGCCATCAGTCCCGTCCAACGCCCCGTCGAGTCCCGCCAGTGCCAGGGCTTCGATTCGGCCGGAAACGCGAACCGCAGGGTGCGGCCCTGGAGCCCGGTGGAAACCACGGTTTGGTGGAACGCCATGCCAAATTGGAGGCTGCCATCCGCAGTAAAGATTGAGTCGGTCTTCACGACAGCTGCAGAGGTAAATGACCCATCGTTTATCTCAGGAGAGGCCGCCGCGGCTAAGCAGGTGTCGTACGAGTAAACTCGGCCCTTGAAGTACTCACTCGGGTAGCGGCTTACGCCTCGACAGGCGTCCGCATCGACGTAGCACCACGGCTGCGCGCACGAAGCCGCCACGGAAGACGTGGTGTGGTCACTCGTACCAGGCAACCCAGTGCCGGAGGTGGTGCTGCTCGTACGGCAGTAGGGAGGCAGCTCCGCGTCCCAGGCGGTTCCACATTTTGCGCCGTAGGCCTGCGGATACTTAAAGACACCCAGTGCCGTTGGCGCGAGCAGAAAGGTCCCCAGCAGATAACTGCCGCCCTCAAACAAACCTGAATTTGTGCCAGCTTCGGTCGTGGTAAGAACCTGAGTGAATCGCCCACCGACGCAAGGGCATAGGCTGGTGCCATTCATTGCACAAGAATGAATTTGTTTCAGCGGCCCGAAGTAGTACGTAGGACCTCAAATGACAGAAGTATCGTGCTATACACACGATGCTGCGACAAAAACTACGACGCAGTAGTAGTACTACAGTCTTGATCTGACCTCTTGTTGTTGACGTACGTTCATAGGACTTTCTTCAAAGCTGCTCTCTTCGGCAAGTACGACTCCGTATGTTTTCCCACTCAGAACCAGCAGCCTATGTCTCTTGGACCTCTCTAGATTTGGAATAGTACTAACACGAACGGCAGCTGCAAAAGCAAAGATGCGGAAGCTTTTAGAAAGGACAGAACGATGTGGACCTCCTATACAACACAAATAGTTCAACGCAAACGAACCGTGCGGACCACGTCTGTGAAAGTTTCTTGATGTTTTCCATGTGTAGATGCAGGCGGTTTGGTCATGTTCATGCGTGTTCATCCTCGGGGGAGCATGCAACTCTGACTAGACTCAGTGCAGAGTTCGAGCATGCAATGCCATCGAGGTTTCCTATGGGTGACGAGCGTTAGCAAGACCTCCTGAGACCCAGCTTTCTACAAACAAGGTCCAAGAAATATTTCTTGTTGTGAAGATAAATCGAAAATTGCATAGGTTTCTTTTATAATCGAGCTTTATTCTCTATCTCCGAGAAAGGCCTTTCCTTTTACCTGGGGAGACTCACGAGAGCTATTAAGAACTTTTGGGTTGCGAAGAAAGAAATCACACTACACTATACGGGTAACTCTGAGCATGTAAAAATGATTTGACAGAAATGACAATGTATCGGAAAAGAACATAGGTCGAACTTCGGGTGTCATGTGCCAAGAAAATACCGTCCTGCCACACGTCCAATGCGCAGGACTTGCTAGCGCGAAAAAGACTCTTTTCCGCAAGAGCAACATAGCACAAAGAAAAATCACTGTCACAAGGTCTACTTCTGCCATCGACTGAAAGCGAAGTCAAAATCGATAGGACCCGCAGCCCATTCACTGCCCCGGCTCTTTCCCCGTACAGAGGCGGTACACGAGGTCGCCGACTGTTCCCCCGTCTTGCTGCATCAGACTGGTGCCCACGAGGAAGCAGTCGATGAGCCCGCAGTCCGCTTTGGTCTGTACCATCTCGGAGTGTGCCTTGATCCCACTGAAAGAGACCAGCTTCACGTCGACCTGCCCGTATTTCCCGGCCTGTTTTGTCTGTCCCAGGAAGGATCCCACCTTGGAGGTGGTCTTTAGATCGATTTGGAAGGTTTTCAAGTTCCGGTTGTTGACGCCAATGACGATTTTTTTCTGCTTCGCCTTTTCGCACGCCTCCAGCGCAAGTTGCATTTCCGCGACGTTGTTCACTTCCAGAATCGGCTCTACCTTGTACTTTTCCACCGCTAGCTTGATCATCTCCGCGAGCGGCTTCTCGAAAAACCCGTTTTCGGCTGTGACGCCGTCAGCCGCAACCGCGAGGCTGACAATGAGCAAAACCGCGTCCGCGTTGTTTTCCCTCGCGCGGGCCAGCGAGCGCTCGGTCAGAAAGAAGTCCTTCATGAGCACCGGCGGACGGGATTGCGGCGAAGTTGTAGCTTCTTTCTGTTTGGTACGTGCAGCGAGGTCGCCTAACGTTTGCTGCGCTTCCTGGGAGTACTTTTCTGCCCCGTTGAAGAAGCAGGGCTCGGTGAGGATTGAGACCGCGGGAAAGAAGTCAAACGAGTTGTTTGGCAAGCCCTCACAGTACCTCCGCAAGAACCTGCTCACAGTCGTGCATCCGTCCTGGCGATCGTAGTGACCGATTTTCACGGACGGGGTTTGCAACTTCACTTCCGGAATGACGAAGAAGCTGCTGTCAGGTTTCTTACGGCTGTCGATTCGAGAAAAGATCGATGCGACGTTTACTTCTTGTTGGCGCGAGGATAAATTTTCCTTAGTGCCGGAAGGAGCTGTCAACGATGGGTCTTTTGTTTTCTGCATGGAGATATTGACAGACGCATCAGAGATTTTATTTTCTATCTGATTCACGACCCCGAACGCTCTTTGCTCCACCTCGTCCCGAATGAGTGTGTATTTGCAGATGCGGTCGACCAGACCCGCGTCCTTGTGCTTCGCGCTGTGAGTCCCGACGAAGTTCGTGGCCCAGATGAATTTGTGCAGCAAAAAAAGCGGGTTTCCGTCTTGATCCTCCGGCTCCGTGGCCGGTCGGGGCTGCAGCAACGAGAGGCACTTTTCCGTGCAGGCCTTCAGCCAGGCTCTGGATTGGGCAGGCGAAAACGCCTGCAGTACGTGGGGGGCTCGGTCCAAAAACAAAACCAACGCCGCGTTCATGGCGGTAAAGTTGCGCAAGTTCTCGAAATGCTTCTTCTTCTTTTCCAGCAGTTTCGCCTCCCGCCGAAACAGCGTCAGCATATTGATCGCGTTTTCTCTTTTCTCGTTCACAGCATTTTGGTCTACTGCGGTTGTACCAGCCGCAGTTGTTCCTCCAGCTCTCGGCTGTATTAAACCGGTCAGCGAGTACACTTCTTCCGCTGTGCTCCCCTTAACACCAAAGTCTTCGCAAGTGAGAGTCATCGGCTGTGGCAACCGCTTCTCCCCCTCGTCTTCCCGCGGGAACACCACCTGGACCGTTTGCTTCACGCCCGCTACCGGTGTGGCTTTGTCCACCCCGTCGGTCGTGTGGATGACTATGAGCTTTTTCGGCAGAGTGGTCGAGCTGTGCTGTGCCCCCTTGGAAAACACGAGCGCGTAGGCCCGGGCGACCAAGCTGCTGTGCGCGCCCAACACGGACACCTCCAACTCGCAGGGGTTTACGATCGGGCCGAGGTAGTTGAACAGGGTCGGCGACTTCCTCCGCGCCGTTTTGGCGGCTCGCAGCTTGGAGTACTTCGCGCGCAGCGGTCCGAACTTCTTCAGGATCGGAAAGAACTGGCGGGCAAACACGAAGGAGAAGTTTTCCGTCTCGTGCAGCACTTTGTCCACGTTCTCGAAACTGTCGATCGCGGTCAAGTGGGCGCCCAGACTCTCCAGCAGGTCCGCCGCCCCGCTGCCCGCAGCCGTGGACGCTACGTTACCGTACTTCAGCATTTTGATCCCGAGGGAATCTTTACGGTCGAAGGCGGCGGCGGCGAGAATGCAGGCGGGCGTGGAGATGTTGTGCGGATTCAGGAGATCTCCCCCCGTCCCGACGATGCACCCCATGACGAAATCGCGATTCATGTTCTTCGTTTTGTCAAACTTGTAGTTGCTCTTCGCCACCTTTTTCGCTTCTTGCAGCAGAATCTCCCGGCAAACAAAGAGCAGGTCCGCGAGCTTCTGGGCGTACTGCTCAGTCTCCTCCGCCGTCCGAACTTCCTCGTATTCCACGAACGTTTTGGAAAATTTTGTGAAGAAGGAAAAGATTTTCGCCTCCACGAGCGGATTTTCCGCGATCAGCTGCGGGTCCGAGTGAATCAGAAACGTTTCCGCGGCCTTGTAGAGCTGGTCAGTTGTGATTTCTCTTGTTTCAGCTTCTTCACCTAAATGAGCAAACTCATTCCCGGTTGCAGGAGTTCTTCCAGACGTGCAACTGATGAACTGCTCCATCAAGTCTATCGCGTCCACCAGTTCAAGCATGTGGGTTTGTTTGCTGATGGTTTGCTGGTCCTTGTCTCCGCGACCGGACAGATTGATGATCAGGTGCTGACTGCTGTCCATACTTGCTGCCTTCTTCATCGCGCCGGCCACCGCGTGCGCGGTTTCCAGCGCGCACAGGATCCCCTCGGTTTTCGCGAGTTTCTGGTAGGCCCGCAAGGCTTCCAAATCCGAGATCGACATGTAGTTCGCGCGGCCGGTGACGGACAAGAAGCTGTGGATCGGCGACACGCCGGTGTAGTCCAGCCCGGCGGACACGGAGTGCGAGCTCCCGGACTGTCCCCCGTTGGTCTGCAGCATCAGGTTCGTCGAGCCGTGGAGGATCCCGACCGTGCCGTCGGGGCCGGAAATGGACGCGGAGTGGACTACTTTGTTGTCGTCGAGAAATTCGTTGTTCTCCTCCAGAAACCCGCCGGCTTCCACGCCGAGCAACTCGACCCCCTCGTCCCCGACGAACGCGTCGAACATGCCGATGCAGTTGCTGCCCCCGCCGACGCAGCCGACCACGCAGTTGGGGAGCTTCTTCTCGCTGTCGAAGAACTGCTTCCGCGCCTCCCGCCCGATGCAGGCCTGGGCCTCCCGCACGATGTAGGGGAAGGGGGCGGGGCCGATGCAGGAGCCGATCACGTAATGCGTGGACTCAATGTTCGACGCCCAGTCCCGCATCGTTTGGTTGACCGCGTTCCGCAGGGTTTTCGACCCGATCTCCACGGGGACCACCTTCGCGCCCATGGACTCGATCTATGACAGTGCACAACCCCCCCTCCCCCTTATTTGTAATGCAAAATCCCAAATCCAGCTTGAGCTGCTGCTTCGTAGCGCTGTTTGCATGACAAATCCTGGAAGCCCAAACAGCACTACACTACAGTCCAAATTTGTCATGCTTAACAGACATTCTTGCTCATGCTTGTATTGCTGTCCATGCCATACAAATGCGGGGGAGGGGGAGTTGTGCACTGTCATACGATCCGCTGCACATTCAGCTGTTGCCGCCGCGCGTCCTTGCCGCCCATGTAGATCGTGCAGGGCAGGTTCATATGGATTGCAAAAATGTCTGGGTCTGGAAGGTTGGAACTTGTGATGCTACCTTTGGACTCTAAAAAATTCTATATTGCATGACCAGCAAGAGGAGTCCGGTTTGTGCTACGCGTGGAGGGCATTTGTCATGCGGAAGAGGCATCAGGAAGGCCTCTGAAAATCTGTGATGCTAGGGCTTCCATGACAGACATTCCGTGTCATGCAAAAACAGCATAACAAATTTCGGATTCTTCCAGACCCCGACATTTTTACATTTGATAGTTCAGGTACGCGCAGCACACCGCGGTGGCCACGCCGTGCTGCCCCGCGCCGGTCTCCGCGATGATCCGGGTCTTGCCCATGCGCTTGGCCAGAATCGTCTGGAAGATCGCGTTGTTGATCTTGTGCGCGCCGGTGTGCAGCAGGTCCTCGCGCTTCAGCCAGATCGTCGCGCCGTTGAGGCGGGCCTTGTCACTATCCCTGCCGGACCGCTGCACCAAGTGGCGGACAAACTTGGTCAGGTTTTCCGCCCTGTACAGGCCCGTCGGCCGCGCGGCGATCTTCTGGTAGAGAAAATCGATCTCCTTCCAGAACGAGGGCTGACTATACACCTTCACGAACTCCCTCTGCAGCTGCTCGCACGCCCGGCGAATCAGCTGCGAAACCCAGGCGCCGCCGAAGAACCCGTAGAACATGGGGATCCTCTGTGGTTTGCAAATGCGGGTCAAGGCCCGGATGCGGAGTTGCGACTTCAAGTGTTTCTTGTGTTGCTCAATCGGTTCCGCAATTTCGTACGCTTTCAGCGAGACGCTGTACGTGTCGATACTAGCAGCTGTCGTGGCTGCATTTGGACTCTGTCTCTGAGTGAAGCACTGCTCCGCGCCGGACGCGACGTCGAACGCGAGACTGCAGCCTGTCGCAGCCATGAATTCCCTCACGTCGCTGTTTTCTAACAATCCCTCCCTTAAACCATTCAGATTCTCCGGACACAGCCCGCCGGCCACGAAGAGTTGCTTCTGCGGGACAACACGACGCGCTTCCACTCCTGTTGCCCCGGTGGTGGACGAAACCAGCTTTTTGCAGAACTGAGGCACCACACTGGCCGCTTCCCACGTGAGTCCGTTGCCCCCAAGCGAGCTTCCCTTCTTGCAGTCGAGCAGCAGACCGGTAATAACTTTATTCGAGGGAAGCAGCAGCTTGGAGCAGCTCTCGACCGTGGTGGCTTGCAGAATGGTTTCCGTGCTATCGAACGCGAAAGCGATAAGAAACTTGCGCGAAGATGTTCCCACTCCCTGCTGTGCGAGCTGTTGTAAAAAGGCAGCGTCCTGGAAAACCTCCGCCACACACTTCACCATCTCCGTCGTTCCGCCGCAGTGCAACTGGATCACGTCGGGAGGGAGTTTCAAGACTGCAAGCTTCGACACTTGCTTCAGGATTTCTTCCTTCACCGCGTTGAAAATAGTTTTTTTACCACCAGAGATCACGACAGCCGCTCCACTCGGCTCCGGCACGACCAACAGCGCCACCGACTTGGGGTTATAGCTGTGGTAGTTGCAGTTTTGGATCAAACTGAACATGTCCGCAATTTTGTTCAGAGACTCCTGCTCGCCATCGTTCCCAAACGCGTTGTCGTGGCCATACACGTAGCGTGGGGACTTCTCGTAGAAGTTGAACCCGAAAAAATCCACGCCGTCCGAGAGGGACGCGATAACTTCCTCCCGGTTCGTGTAGCCGCACACCTTCAACGGGGTGATCGTTTGCTCCGGAGGTTTATTTGCGCTCGTCAGTTGTCTGTTTCTACTACTTCGCTGGTGGCTGGATGGGTGTACTACCGGGACCATGTTTTTCTTGTTGTCAGTAAAAGCCGATTTGCACTTTGCGGCGTCAAAATTTTCGTACAGGTTCTTCACCATTTCACTGTATTCCTTATCCGTAGCCACGCCTGACTCCCCGAGCGCGATCGCCTTTCGCAAGTACTGCGTCCCGATCACCGCGGCGTTCGGAATCTTCTCGTACGCCGCTCGACACAGGTTCACATCCGACCCGTTTGTGATGCCGAAGCCCATCAAGAGGAAAAATCCGTGCTGCTGAAGCGTTTTCAAGTGGTTTTGGTAACGCGTCTTCACGATTTTGTCCTCGATCTCGAACTTGTTCTTCGCGCTTTTCGTTGGCATCGTGGACGTAGTGGCACCTGAAAGAGAGATTTTCGTTTTAATAAATGTCGATGTGGCAGCACCTACTTAACTATACGATTCAAAAAAATTAGTAGACCGCTTGTTGTTCGGTGACGGTGACCCTTGCTGGCGCTTGCGATGAGAACCTCCTGGAACTACGCTGCATCACATTCAAAAGAAGACCGTCGTGAAAATCATTCTCAATGACCAGAACTAAAATTATCTACGTCATTTTTCAAAACAAAACCTGTAAATGAGCAGTACCTGTGACCCCCATGTAGGTTGTCGCGTAGATGATTGGCCTTTTCAGAACGGGGTCCGCTTGTTCCACTCCTGCACCTTCTGCACCCACAGTGCCTTGCAGTTCCACCATTTCGCACAACTCTTGCACCACGTGCTCCTCGACGTTTTCGGAGAGAACCGGGATTAAGGACAAGCCTGCCTTCCGAAACACGTTGTTCAGGTTTCCGACGTGCAAACAATCCGCCGTCATGTCCACCACGATCACGTGACGGATGCCGAGCTGGACTGCCCGCGTGCCCCACTGGTCCCGAAATTCGAACTCCCCGGACACCGGCGACACCTGGAAGAAGGTGTTCAAGTACCCCATCAAAATGACCGGGAGGGAGAAGTTCCGCGTCTTTTGCGCCTCCTCGATCAAGTCCAACACCGCGTGGATGCTGTGGATTCGCTGCTCCTGCAAACACACCCGGTAGCACTCCTCGATGACCGGGCCGTCCGCGAAGGGGTCGGAAAACGGCACGCCGACCTCGATCGCATCCACCTTCTTCGAGTTTTGGATGCCGACCAAGCTGTTGATAAACTGCTCCTTGTTCGGATACCCAGCGCACGTGAAAACGAAATTGCAGAAGTCGTTGCTTTCCAGTTTCCGGAAGTACGACGGCGTGGCGGCGTGGGAGCGGGACTGCGGATGATTATCCAGCTTCCGGCGCTTCTTCAAGTTGATAGCGTCAATACTATTTTCATCCAAGTCACCTGTTCTTGCAAGAAGTTCGACATCGACCATTTCCGCGTCTACCACCGCTCCACTATCATTAGCACTGCTGACTACGTCCACAGATGCGGACGCCGACAGCTCGGCGTCCTTCCCGAAGCCGTGGACGAGGAGGAAATTGTACAGCATTTCGTGTCCGCGCTCCGTGCCAATCGACTCGGGGTGGAACTGAACACCGTAAATCGGCAGGTGCTTGTGCTCCACGGCCAGCACCACTTGCTTTTCCGAATCCGAGACTGCGGTACAACGCAGGTGCTTGTTTTTCCGCAACTGCTCCTTGTTCGCGACAATGGAATGGTACCGCATCACTTTCACGTCGTCGTTGTTCCAGTTGTTCGGGTCGTGCTTTTGACTCATCATATCATCCTGAGCCGCTGTCGAGCTTCCTGTTCCCGGTATTGAATAGCTACGCGGGAACAGCGGATTGGAGTAGTTCGATTTTGAAACCACTTCGCTAAAGACCATTTTCGACGGCTTTCCGTGGTAAATTTCCTCTTTACAAACCTCCGTCGCGCAGCCGAAGTACTCACAGAGCGTCTGGTGGCCCAGACAGATCCCTAAGAGCGGGATTTTCCACTTGACCGCAAAGTCGATGACGGGATACAGCACGTCCTTCACCTCCTTCGGCGATTTCGGGCCCGGGCCCAGCACGATGTGCGAAATGTAGGAAAAGCTGTCCGCGGGGCCTCTCCCCGTCCTGAACGTGCTGGCCGAGTTGTCGAAATTTTCCAGGTTCTCCAAAAAAGAATTCGACTCAAATTGCTCGTCCCAGTACTTGATCAGCTTCATCAGATCCGGGTCGTCGTTGCGAGTCACCTGGATCGACGCCTTGTAGTAGTTCTCAGAATTTGAAGATGATACTTTCCCAATTTCTTCTGCTTTCTCCGCGTCGCACTGATTGGCGATGTGCGAAATGATCTCACTGAAGTACTGGTAGATGTTGTAGGTGAACGAGTCGTAGTTGTCGACCAACAGAATTTTGTGGTTCTGCTTCCTGTTCTCCAACGGCCGGGTTAAGGGGAGGTGCGACACCAGGCTGGAAGCGGTGCGGTTGGGTTTTTGGGCGGTGGAGGTGGACGACGTGTTTTTACTTTTATTTTCGCCAACAAGTTGATGCGCACGTCGCTCGGTCATAATTTTTGCGGTCGTGTGACTTTGCTTCTTCCCCTCCTCTTCTTTTCGCATTTCCTGGAGTCTTTCCTCGACCATGGTTTCCAGTCGCGCCGTCCCGTAACTCGACCGCGCACCGTAGTCGATTTCGCGGCCCTCGGACATTTGGAGAATTTTTTGCGAAGTAGAAGATGAGGAGGACATTTTTTTCATCTCCGCTGCACCGGCCAGCTGCAACAAAGCAGACCCGGGCAGGGAAAGGAGATTTTTGTTCTTGTTGTTCCCGGTGGATGCGCTCATCAATCCCTGTTCTGCCTGCTTGATCGCGGATTTCAAAACGTTCATTTTGAAGCCGGTTTCTTCATACTCGGAGGTCGGGTCGCTGTCGAACACGATTCCCGCGCCGGCTTGCAGCTGCACCTGGTTTAACGGTACTGAAGACCGACTCTCATCATGATCCGGTGCCTTGGTCACGATGGCGGTGCGGATGGCGATACAGGTTTCGGTCGTCAACCCATCGTAGTTGAAAAATCCGAGGCCCCCGGCGAACACCCCGCGCGGGCGGTACCGCTCCATTTCCATGATATCCTTCACGGCTTGGATTTTCGGCGCCCCGGACACCGTGCCCATCGGGAACACCGCCTTCATGACCTGCAGAGCGGGGACGTCCGGCAGCTTGCCGTCGGCAGTACAACCGGACAACTGCAAAGGCACTTGGTGCTGGGTCGGCTTCGCGCGGCCAGGAGCAGCTTGTGCTTGTTGTAGTCCACCTCCGGGAAATAAAGAAGTCATTTTTCCTCTCTCTTCTTCGTACTTTTTCTTCGCCCGAAACTCCTTTTTCCTTGTCTGGAATTTGGACACCGCCGCAGCCAGGTCCTTCAACATTTTCTCGGTCTGCTCCAGATCCACACAGCCGTCGGTCACACTCACGCCATACTTCAGCTGCAGCTCCCCGGCCTTGTACTTCGCAACGTCCAGTTTCTGGTTCCCGCACAGCAAATTCGACTCGATCATGACGCCGAGAATCGGCGGGAACACCGGCTCCTCCGCCTGCTCCGCCACGGTCTCGCCGACTACGGTCTCCAACACCTGGTCGCACAGATCCTTCAGAACCACGGGCTGCCGCGTGAAGTCTTTGTTCGCGTTCCCGTGCGAGCAGTCGATCAGCAGCTTTTTCGGCGCTTCCGGGACCAGTTTGGAAATGGCGTTCTTCACGTGCTCCCGGCTGTAGTTCGGCCCGTCCTTCCCGCCCCGCAGCACCACGTGCGCGTCGGGGTTGCCGTCCGTCTTGAATACCCCGTAGATTTCCCCGATCGCGATCTGCGACCGGTTTTGCTTGATCTGCTGCAACTTCTGGGCTTTGGTCGACGAAGATGAAATCGCCGTGCGCGGCTCGACGGCACTGGAGGCGGAGGACGCGGACGAAGCAACGCCACTGTTGTTAGTTGTAGAACTGTCAAGACCGGATTGTTGTTCGAGAGAGGAATCATGAGCAGTTGTATGGCTGTTCACCTCGATCGGCGAGAGCAACATGCGATTCAGCTCCTCCTGGTCGGAATTGTCGCTCGCCGTGGTGATGGCCCCGCCAAACGCGTGCCCGAACGACTTCTCGTCCATCGGCCCCAGGATGCTGTAGGCCTTCCGCCCGGCGACCACGGCGTCGCAGGCCACCTGCACGTCCCCGCTGGTGCCGTTCTTGAAGCCGCAGGGCACGTTCTATCAAATGTAAAAATGTCTGGGTCTGGAAGAATGCAAGTTTGTCATGCTTGTCTGGCATGACTCTTAAATCTGTCATGCACGTTACCCAAGAGCTGCGTTTTTCTGTCATGCAGAAGCGCAGTTTGTCATGCAGAATAGGCAACACCTAGAAGCTCAGAAACTTGTCATGCTGAGCCAGCAATTGTGGCCTCCTCATGATATGCCACACAGCATCACAAGTTTCCAGACCCAGACATTCTTACATTTGATACGTTCGCCCCGGACACCATCTCGCGGTGCACCTGCGACTCGACGGTGCGCGCGCCGATCGCGCCCCAGGACACCAGGTCCGCGATGTACCGCGCGCACACGGGGTCCAAAAACTCCGTGGCGACCGGTAGGTCAAAATGCTCCGTGATGTCCAGCATCAACGAGCGGGTCAGGTACAGGCCCTTCTGGATGTCGCAGCTGTCGTCCATGTTTGGGTCGTTCACGTACCCCTTCCAGCCGACGGTCGACCGCGGCTTCTCGCCGTACACGCGCATCACGATCAACAACTCGTTCTCGTACTTCTTCGCCTCGTGCGCCAGGAATTTGGCGTACTTCAGCGCCATGTCGTAGTCGTGGACGGAGCAGGGGCCGATCACCACCACCAGACGGTCCGGGTTGGGCCCCTTCTGGTGCAGAATCTCGTGGATCTCGGTATAACCTGCTCAGGCGTTACAATCTCAAACGTTACAATAGAATCTGGGATTTGTATTGCATGAGGAACATGACAGACTCGCAGAGCGTTCCACTTTCTGCAATACAAATTTCGCCAGATTCTAGTGCGGTTTGGGGCTCCGAAACTTGTCATGCGCAATCCTGTGGGACTAGGGTAGATCATGCACTTCCTGCATCACAGATTTCCAGATTCTATTGTAACGTTTGAGATTGTAACGTTTGAGCGGGCCATACTCGGTTTTCGCCGTGTTGTTCACGATTTTCGTCTATCAAATGTAAAAATGTCTGGGTCTGGAAGATTGCAACTTGTCATGCTGTTTTTGGACTCCAAAAAATTTCGTATTGCATGACCAGCAAGAGGGGCACACTTTGTGCTACACGGACAGGGCATTTCTCATGCGGAAGGTGCATCAGGAAGGCCTCTAAAAGTCTGCGATGCTACATCATGCATTACAGGCTTCATGGGTCATAAGAAATATGCATGACAAGTCTTGCATTCTTCCAGACCCAGACATTTTTACAATCCATATCGTCTTCTCGCTCGGCGGCAATAAATTCCGCAAGTGCCGGGGGAGCGGGAAAATTTTGCTCGGCTTGTAAGACAAAACGCGAGGTTTGAAGGGGAAGGAAAACCGAAACGTGCTGGACTGGAAGTTCGCGATTGTGTGATCCTTCGCCTTCGTGAGAGGCGTTTGCGGGGCGACGTTGAGCTTCCGCTTCTTCAAGGATGGCGTCTGGAACAGTAACTGGTAGTCCTCATCGTCGAGTGCTTTTCCGGAAAGCACAGAAAATTTGTTACTATTTCCTGCGGCCGATGACGTGTCCGCGACGAACCGGGCTTGCCGTTGCAGGTGCGCGCTGTCCTTGATGCCGCTGCTTCCCGCCGGACCCCCGGCGTGGATCTGACCCACGACTTTGGAGCACAGATGCATCACGTTCGGGAAAAATTTGATTTTCTGGAACTCCACGCACTCCACGGAGCCGGGCTTCGCGATCTTGCCGATGTCGTTGCGGGCCAGGTCGACCAGCATGACGTGCTCCGCGAGCTCCTTCTCGTCGTGCAGCAGTCCGATCGCGGTCTCCACGTCCTCTATGGATTGCAAATATGCCTGGGTCTGGAAACTTGTGATGCTGGGCGGCGTATCATGAGGGAGCCACAAGTGCTGGCTCAGCATGACAAGTTCCTGAGCTTCTAGGTGTTGCCTATTCTGCATGACAAAGTGCGTTTCTGCATGACAGAAAAGTGGGGCTCTTGAGTAGCGTACATGACAGATTTAAGAGTCATGCCAGACAAGCATGACAAACATGCACTCTTCCAGACCCAGACATTTTTGCATTTGATATCCTCCTTGTCGTCGAAGAACTTGGACCGCGGCCGCGTCCCGGCGATCGGGTGGGTGGTGATCTGTCCGGAGAAATCCACGGACACCTGCAGCTCCGGCGACGCGCCCACGATGAAGAAGTCGTCCATCTTCAGCAGGTAGCGGTACTGCGTGGTCGGGGAAATTTTATTCAGCGCGTGGAAAATCATCCAGGCGTCCGCGCGGGTCTTCTTCTTCTCGATCCGACTGGGCACCGCCTGCAAAAAGTCGCCCCGGGTGACGCGGTGCTTCAACGTTTCCACGATTTTCTCAAACTCTTTCTGGGAGAAATTGGATTCGTAGTTCTCTTCCTCTTCGTACGTCATGGTCGAGAACGCGGAAGTTGCAGCGCCTGGTGCAGGGTGAGCGGAACTACCACCCGATGCGGTCGTTGTTGACCCCGCGAGCAGTAGTTCTTTCACGTCCTTTTCAAGCTCGTCCAATCTCGTCACCGCAGCGGCATAAGAATCCACGAATTGCTTCACATCGAAAATAGCACCACTTCCATTGTCTGATACTTCGCCCGTGGAAGAAGATCCTTGCCCCCGTCGTACTATCAGCTGCTGCTCCAACTCTTTGGAATGATTTACTTTCACCGTGGCGCACATCTTGATCCTCTTTCCCGCAACATCCAGTTCCAGAAACGAGTCGTACTGACACAAAATGGTCGTCGGACGCTCGGTATCAAATGCAAAAATGTCTGGGTCTGGAAGAATGCAAGTTTGTCATGCGTGTCTGGCATGACTCGAGAATCTGTGTTGCAGAGGCACGAAAAGGCCCTCTTATCTGTCACGCAAAAACGCACTTTGCCATGCGCAATACGTAAGACATGGCAGCCAAAAAATTTGTCATGCATAGCTGCGTATTGCAGTGCGTCTATCATTCTCTTGTAGCATTACAAGTTTCCAGACCCAGACATTTTTGCATTTGATACTCGGCTTCCTTGTTGGCTGCTCTGGCGCTTTCCGCAGTAGATCTTTTTGCCTTGTGCTCCTCCAGCACCTTCGCCAACGACGGTTCGACCTTGTGCATATTTTCGAACCCATAGTATCCAATATCCTATGTAAAAACGTACCCACCCCATAGTCAAGATGGGGAATTGGCTAGACAAATCCACAAGCTTTGGCTGTTTGGCATGACAAATTTGGACGCGTAGTGTAGTGCTGTTTGAGCTAGTTCAGCAGCATTACAGATCTAGTCTCTCATGCTGATTGGAGCATGACAAATTTCAAAACACCATTAGAAAATGCTTCTCATGGGGCTCCGCATGAGGAACATTTTAAGCATGCAGAGTTGCATGACAACTATGGTGTGGGGACGTTTTTACACAGGATATCCAAGTAAGCCCCCACGGAACTTCTGCTGCACGGCGGAGGTTATCCAAAGTAAATTTCCCGTACACGTACAGATGCGGTCTCTGCATGACAAAACTTGGCTTCGATCCTAGTTTAGCATGACAAGTAATACACTCCAAATTAGTGAAATTTGTGATGCACGTTGCACATGTACGGGAAATTTGTATTGCATAGAGGTAGCAGACGAAGTACCAGATGCACCGGTATAATCCTGTGTCGACCCGACCACGACTTCCGTGAGCCCGAGCCGCTGGTTCATCCACTCGCTGGGGTCCGCGCTGGACCGAAACAGGTCACAAGGCGTTTTGGCCACCAAAATTTTGTTGCCGCGGTCGCAACAAAAATACGCGTAGTACTCCTGCGCATTATTTTCCACCGCCCCTTGTTCATCTTTTGTTCCACCAAACAGTCTCTCCGGCTGGGCGAGGCACCTCTGGAAAGTGACATGGTCAGACACCTCCACCTCTCGCTGCAGCAGAAAGTAAAACCCCTTGGGGTTCAACGCAGAACCGTGTGGAGTCGAGGCGGCGCTGCTGGTTGTAGTAACACCATCCGGACGGCAACTCTCGAAGTAACAGTCAACCGCCCGGATCACCTCGTGGACCGAGGCCTCCGACTTCGATATCTTAAACGCCATAGGGGAAGAAAAAGACGTCGATGCAACGTTGACCATGGAGGTTCTAGTTTTATCGGTCGGTGTAATATAAGGGTTTGGGTTTAGGATTTACGACTGAAATATACTTAAAACTTTTGCCACTGTAACTAGCAATCTCGTACTGATAAAATGACGAGGCGCGATCAGAGTTTTCCTTAAACTACTTTGTCTCTAGGAATTAGGCTTTAGGGTTCCGACAAATTACTTTATCACGTGCCGCAGGAGTTGAATACCGTTCAGGAGTGTAGCGAGCGAAATACGCGGTCGTCTACACTTTCGGGATACAACAACTTACACTTTGCCAGCGGTCTCGATAGACAAAAGAAAAAAAGAAGAATGATTCTGCAATGGATGAAATAAAGTAAATCACGTGAAGCAAAAAACTTGTGGTAATTTTTGAACGAAAATTGCAGACAAGGATCTTCGCGTTTTTTCATTTATCAACCGAACGAGAAGTTTCGAAAACTGGATCTGTGATTTTTCTTGCACCGAGTTTCTTGTCCTTTCTCTTGCTACCGTATGGCCGCAGTGGTCCTCGTTTGAGTCTACTTTTGGAATAAACTTCTATCGGCTACTCATGCCGATTTCGATTCGCCAGGATCGATGTGCGTGCCGACTAGTAAAGCTAAAGTAGGAGTGACAGCAGTGAAATAAAGACAATAGCAAGACTTCCTCTGCTCTAGTACAACGGTGGATGCTAGTAGAAAAAGACCGTTCACCCGGGAGGTCCTGGATTGTTGTTCATTCAATTGATTTTATTTCTGTGCGTCCACCTGCACGAGCCACTACGATCTTGAAAAAAGTAAATGGCGAAAAACGTTTACAGTGAAGCGGCAAAGACACTATTTTCAAAAAACTAGTTGCACGAAGTCGAGAACGCTTTTCTAGTGAAGCATATTGCTGAGTACGAGTTTCAAGGCAAGAGATAGTTGCACGGTACAAAAACAGAGAAACTCGGACGTGGACTGTGGTTGGACGGAGACGGTGGAAAAAAAGTGCAACAAAAAAAGGAACCGACTTGATAACAAAACGGAATTTTGCAAACAAAACACCATGCACGAGGTTGGCAATACTTTTTGAAGCACCCCTGTAGTTGGAGTTGCTTCCAGAAAGCACAGCGTTTTGTTCACATTACGCGGCAGCAGCTTGATGAATAAAAACGAATGCACTTCGCTTTGTTTCATGGGTCGGCACAACTCTGATGATCAGCATCCTGAACTTCATACATTTCTGCCCGCGTAACAATTTCGGAATTCATTCCTTCTGTATCGACAATCGTAAAGCGTGCGAAAAATGGATCGCAAATCGGCTCTGTGTAAATTCGAAACGGATCAGCTCCGCTCCTGTAACCCGGTGCCTCCCGTACTCCTTCGATGCTACTATCCACACCGACCGATTCCGCTGTGCTTATTCGGTCGTAAAGCAACCTCAGGAAGGACGTTGCTCTGCTTTTGTCTTCTCGTTCCGCTTGCGCGTGTCCTTCTGCGCCAGGTCGGCTGCGTTGGTGATCCACCGGATCACGCCCCCCGGCGAAGTCGGCTTCTAGGTTCATAGTAGTATTGTCGCGAGAAGAACAAGAACCGAGAGCCATATTTCCTCTTTCACTTTTCTCCACAACGGAGTTGTCCATTCTGGTTTTTTTCGCTTTAAGATGTTCTTCCTGGTCAGCCGGACCGAGTCCACTTCTATTGCAATCTCGCCGTAGATACCCCGGAAGCCAATGGCGCGCGTCAACCCACATTTTCGAAAAGATCGAGTCGTCGCGAGCTCTGCTTGGCGCTGAAGCAGGAGCATTTCGTGTGCTCGCTGGTCCCTCCACTGGGTCGGCTTTCATAACGCACTTCCCTCTTTCATCTTCTTCAAACCGCCCAATTTTGCCCAACTCAGTCGTCACGTCGAACCACTGTGGTCGCATCTCGTCGCTCTCATGCGCCTCTAGCGTCTGCAAATCCGCTTCACTCCACCTGGCCTTTTCCACTCTGTTTTCGTTTCCCTGCCGCGAATCACCAGCATCGGAATCTTGAACTTGATCAACATCTGCATGATCAATGCGATACTCGAAAATGAAGATTTCCAAAATTTTCCGGCAACTTCTTTCCACCTCTTGCCCCTTCTCGTACAGGTAGTCGACGTCTTGCCTCCCGACAAACCGCAATTCTGCAGCAACCTTTTCCTGCACAACTGAAACATTTACTTCCCCACCTGTGCTTGTCCTCGTCCCTGCGGCGGGACATTCCACCAAAAGCGGTGAGCAGTCCGGGACATCGTCCAACACGGTGAGCAGCCCGGGACATTCCTCCAAAAGCTCCCGCGCTGCGCAGTCCCGGATCGTCCTGTCCTTGCCTTCCTCGAACTTGCCGCCGAAACCGTTCCATTTTCCCTTGCCGAAACCGCGCTTCTTGAAGCCGAGCAGAATTTTGTCCGAGCACTGCGTTTTCAAGCGCGGAAATACGAGGGAAAGCATTTTGCGCTTTACTTGCTGTGTACTGGCCTCGTCTTGCTCTGTCAGGCTGCAGCACGAAAGGGGTGCTGCTGCTACTTCCGGAGATGTCCGTTTCTCAGTGCGCCGCTCCATTTGTTGCCTGGCTGCGACAGTTGTCAAAGCGTCGCCCCCTGCCGCCAACATCGTTTCTGTTTCGTCTGGCATAATGTTGTGCGATTACTTTGGTGTACAACTGGATTGTCTTTGTTCCCACACCTCAAACTACTATGAAACTAAATTATTGAGCGCAAACAAATCTTGAGCGCCGAGTTTTATCCTGGCACAGCCAAGCAAGCCAAAACTGCAACCTGATAAACGGCGCAAACGTTCGAATCTACCACGTGCAAAGTGTACAGCATAATTGCAGCTCTGCCTCTCCTTCAGCTCCAGCAAACTTCTACGGAGAACGCCTCTGCTGACACACTTGCGGCAACGGCAACAATGTACATGGTGCCGGATGGAAACGAATTTCAAAAAAATGTGAAACGCATGCTTTTCTTGCTCGTTTTGGGAATGGAAAAAGGCAGTATTCCCCCTTTGTTCCGCTGCACGACCAGCTTCGGTCGACTCAGAAGTCAGCACTGCTTCACTTGTAGTCGTATCCACACTAGTAGCGTGCTCAGTCTCATCTTCACTGCCTTCTTTCATGCTATCGTCGTTTTGTTTCACGTGAAAAGGAAAAATCGTTTTCAACATTTCTAGCCTCTCCTCCTGCCTTGGAAAGGCGGCTTCCTGCGTCGGGCTCTGCCAGTACAGCAACGCGGTGACGTTTGAATTCTGCAAAATCGTCCTGCTGTAGGTGCGAAACCCGGCGAAATCAATCTCCGATAAGGAATGGGTCGCGATAACGAGCGTATCTTCTTCGATAGAGAAGGTACTACTCGCAGGGCTTCTACTTTGAGCTTCATCTTCCACAACCACGGTTGCAACCTTCTGTACTACGTCCTTGTCGCTAGAAACTTCCTCCTCTCGTCGTCCCGCCTGCCCCAAGTCCTTGTTGCTTCGCAGGTGAATCTTCACCCAGGGGCCTGTAGCTGGCTCTTCTTGAAACTCGGTTTGATGCGTCGACCGGGACGACAGGGGAGATGATGAAGACGAGGGAGACGCTAATCCGTAAAGGTTTTCCCGTAGATACTGTTCTATGGTATCTGCGATCATATCATCGTGTTGATTTCTTTTATCCACCGCTGAATAATCTTCGAGATCGACACTACGAGTAGCATCATTTTCCTTTTCGTGAACAATTTCATTTTCTTCTTCCACGCCTCTCTGAAAGGCGAACCGATGCGCAATGTCCGTGATTCCCTTCAGAAAATTCACCTCCTCGCTCCGCAGCGCCCAGTCCTGCTGTCTCAACACAAACTCCAGGTCAAACACCGTGTAGGAAAGCAGCGCGCACGACGTCGGCCGTGTGTTGTGATCACCCGAGCCACTTTCGCCGCTCGTCTCGGGTCCGCCTGGAAAATCTAACAGCTCCGACATGACGCAAGGCCCACGGAACCGGTGCGATGTCGCCCACTGCGGCCTATCAAATGTAAAAGTGTCCGGGTCTGGAAGAGTGCAAACTTGTGATGCGCATTCCAGAACACAGAAAAATCTCTCATGCATAGGCAGCAAAATTTGCCCAATTTCTGTCACCAAAGTCAGGGATTTGTCATGCATACCCGACTGCACCACATCAAAAACCTTTGCACCGTCGCCGCAAGCAGCTACGGACGCAGGAAATCTAGGGTCAGAACCGCGAAATCAGGGATTTGTCATGCGGATTCGGCATTGCGAACGCTTCTCGAAACCTGTGATGCTAGAGCTTCCATGCCAGACCTTCTGTGTCATGCAAAAACGGCATGACTCTTCCAGACCCAGACATTTTTGCATTTGATACGGCCCCAGTTGGTGCAAGAGCGCGAGCAGAAGGGTCGATCCGCTCACCGCCGTACTTCTAGCGGTCAACACGGCTAAGACGTCTCGCAGCGACGCGATTGCTGACGGGAGGGCTTTGCGTTTGCTCTCAGCAGGTGCAGTGCCTTTGTTTTCTTTTTCGTCATCATCATCTTTTTCGGCACTAGCACTTGCTGGTCCACTACGTTGTATTTCCTCCAGCTGTCCCTGTCCCTCCTGCCGCACCACTTCAAAAAACCACTGCAAAAAGTCGAGGGCCGTGAAACGAAGGAACCAGGAGAGCGTGGCTAGGTGCCCCGCGCCGATTTCGACAATGTGACGAATATCGTTCGAAGCTAATAATGATCCACCACGCCTCCGCAGCATCGGGACGGCGAAGGTCGCTTGAAACCCCGCGAAGGCCGCTTTGTACTCCAGCGGACGGCAATTTTCTGTGTAGTGCAGCCAGGGGAGAACCGGCGGGTAAACGTCGACGGGTTCGCGTCGTACTATTTTTTCCTTGTCATTCTTCATGAGTTCCGCGTAATACCCCTGCGCCCACGTCGCCTTCCACTTCGAGGAAAGAGACGGGTAGGCTCCGATAGAAAACAGAAAAACCACCGCCTGCTGCAGTCTTGTCAAGAAAACTTCATCGTTTCTACTTGACCAGTACTTTATTTCGGTACTAGGGGATTCAGCTGCAGGAAGATCCGGACCGAACCGGAAACCTCTGGCCGCCTCGTAATAGCCCTTTTCGCACTTGGACGCCACAATTAAAGCGTTCGACATGGCCGCAAACGCGGGCGTGTAGAAGGCGTATTTGGAGTAGAAGCCCGCAGCGCTGGTCAGAGTGCTGCACTCGGGAGCTACGACAGCGATTTCCTCTCTAATTTTTTCCTCCTCCACTTTAGCAGTTGATTTTTTCCACGACCTATTCCTATCGGAAGCTTTCGTACAACCCGGCGTCTTGGTCTCTCTTTCCCACAGTGCTGCAGTCGCCTCTTGTTCCGACCAGAAAGGCTGTGGTGGCGACGGAAGACTTGGACTAGGTGAAGCTGCTGGCTGTGTGATCTCCTCATTTGTTCCATCAGGCAAAATCTTTTGATCCTGCTGTACCGCAGTCGCCATCCCCGCAACCTCGAAGGCGCGGTGCAACGCCTCCAACCACGGTGTGTGCGCTGCCATGGTGTCCAACAAGTCCACAACTGATGCAGTTGCCGCAACTTCTTGGGTCGTCGATCGCGACAAGTCTCGGGAGTGTAGTTCCAAAGGTGCTGGATCATTTATCGTGGAAGCCCCGTGATCGTCCCTGAGCTTCTTCCCGAATTCCCTCAAAAACACTTGAAACTCGTGAATGTCCACGGCCGCACGCATAAACTGGGGCCATATGCTTCGGATGATCTCAGAATGTAGAAGAGGGTTCTGTTCCGTTTGATTTTCGACGAAAGGTTTCCGTGCGGAAGCTCGATAACGAGAAGTAGCCTCGTCCTGTTCTTCATTATTCTTGAGAATTTCTTCGCTTGCCATCCTCGCTTCCAAAAGCCTTACTTCGGCTTCGAGAAACGCATTAAAGGTCTCCCACTGCCGCGCGTTGACCCGTTTCAGGAACCGATCCAGGCTTTGTACTACTTCACTTGAGCCAGCTTCATGTACTTTTTCGTCTCCTGTCCCATCGTCTTGCGAAGCCACTTCTTTTTCTGCTCGTGGTCGTGTAGTAGTTTCTCCTAATCCAACCATAGAACCACCACCACCTCCGGAGGCCTTTAGTCCGCCCATTGCATCGACGCTCGTCAAGTGCCGACCTCCAACACGATCATCGTGAACATTTCGAACTTGATTCTGCCCCTCTTCGCCCCCGAACAAAAGCTCCCGTTCCCAGTCCACAGCGCGGAGCGCCAGGCTGAGTTTCGGAATCGCCTCGATCGTGATTCCCCCGTGGTTCCGCAGACGTTCCGACCGAATACACGTTTTCCACGGCGCGACGGCTTGCGGAAACCACTTTTGCAAGAGAGAAAACGACACATTCTCCTCTGCATCTTCCTGACTTGTTTCTTGCTTCTGCGTCGACTCCTGTAGGGGAAGCGTTGAAGAACGTCCGTCCTTCACCATTGCAGAACCCTTATGATCTACTTCACCGGGCGGGGCCGGGGAAGCGTGATGAGCACCTTGCGGATTATTTCGTGTGAGGACACCCAAGATCTCGCTTCCGCTGCTACCTTCCCCCGTGCTAGTACTAGCGGATGATCCGATTTTGTCAGCAAAATGCGGTGGCAGCAACTTCGTTTCCAGCACCAACTCTGCCTGCAGCATCACAGCCACCGCGAGCGCGAAGTATGGAAAAAACTCTGGAGTCAAACCAGCATGACATCTACGTACTGTGTCTCATACATCGCAGCAGAATGAGCTGAGGCGATGCGGGCCAGGAGAAAAAGTGTGCAAAAATAAGTGGAAAACTGCTTCTGGTTTCGCAAACGAGAGGACAGCTCACCTCCAATAGGCATGACGAACTCAACGTACTGTTTTGAATTGGGCTTGGCTCAAAATTTCAATAGCGCAAAAAGCACGGATGCCGATCCGCTTGGACAAGCTGGGTGGTCCTACTGCCATTGATGTCGGATGGCGAAGAGGACAATGCAGGCGACATGACGCAATTTTGCTGTTCAGCTAAGCTTTCGCTTCGGCTTTTTTTTAGCCGCTCGATCTACATGCATTTATTTTCGCACAGATTCTCTCTGCCCTCAATTCTTTTCCAAAAAAAATTTATGAGTATGACTCTCCTAGTCCACAACAACGGAAAAGCTGAAGAGCGGAAAACGAAAATCCAATGGCCCTGGAAAACCTATGGCACTTAGGGATCTTCAGAACTGCAGATCTGTACTTTTTTGCTGTCGGCACAGTTAGAGTATCAGTATGAGACAGCTCGTTAGAAGATCTGTGAACTTTGCAACCTAGATGAGCGGGCACCTCATCACCGACTGATCAAACCAACGATGACAACTCGCGGCTCAGGCCCCACGCCAAGCCAATTAGCAAAGAGCGACACACCACGCATTTCAAGATGCACACGCCGACCACCGGCTTTGTGCGTACCAGGAAAGACGGGGACTATTCCAGTTCGTTGCTTTTCGGCAGTCTCGATATCATCATTTTCGATACTACACTTTGAAATTTTATATTCTAATTCCATCAAAATGAAATTTCATGAATTGCGGTTGCGCTTTGCTTTCATGCAGTTACCATTGCGGTAGTACTTCTACTCTAGCAGCGGCGTTTAATGGAACCGAGGCAGAACGCAAGGTATACAGCGATTGCAAAACATAGACAGAAAATCTATATCAACACCAGGCAAATACATTCTATAATACTTTTGCAAGGATATATGTATCTTGAGTAGTCGACTACTAACTTTTCCCCGAAACGAGCGAAACAACTGCAATTGAGTAATTAATTCTGAATACCTCTGACAGCCACGCTTCCAAGGCTCCAAAATGATCGGACTTCTTGGCGATGCGATTGCGAAGAGCATTCAGATAAAATTGTGCGCCTAGGTGCACAACAACCACTAAGCATTTCGCAATCAATTTTTTTCGAGAGTGCCAATGCAGCATTGTACGAAGCATCAGTTCAATTTCATACATTGCTATTGTGTTCACACAGACCTTGATGCACACGACCCCCTCAGTAAAAGCCTCCAGCGGACTGCACAGGGTCATTCGCCAGCACTCCATCTGCCCAGTAGTCACCGGATGTTGCCCAAAAGTCTTCCATCGGGAACGCGCCCCAGGGAACGAAGGGCAGTACGGGCTGCAAGTCGTATCGCATACCAGACTGCACGGTCCCAGCCGCCTCCGGGCGAATCATGCATCCCTTTCTGCTCTTCCCCACCGTCGGTCTGTTTGCACCTCCTTTGCTTCGGTCGTGAGAGCTAGATGTTGCACCACTTCTTGTGCTGCTATTCTGCGGTCGCGATGAAGACGCTTTGAACGGCGCTGCTGCTGCGCCAACCTTTGTTTCTCCTTTCTCCCCAGAGAACTTGTTTTTCCGCGCCCTTTTGGATTTCGGTGACAAGTTTGCAGTTTGCGCGACTCCTTCCGCGACGTCTTGTAGCAACGCTTTCTTTTCCACGAAAGATTTGCGAGAATTTTCATCGTCTTCAGTTCCCGCGTGTTCGCCGCTCGAGTCGTCTGTTTTTGCGCTTCCGGCAGGCACAAATTCGGGCGCGGCGGCGGACATTTCTTTCTTCTTGACCTCCTTCTCGTCCTCGTACTGAGTATGATTCACGGACTCTTCCGACTTACCCGCATCGTACACGAACTGGTCCACCACAAACTCGGGCGCGTCGGCGCGCAGCTTGGACGAAAGGCTCTTATCCGAGGCGTCAAACACTTCGACCCGCCCGACTGGCAGAGGCGCTGCTGATTCATGATCCCCGAAGGTGGTACCAAAGTCCTTTCCGTCAGTTTTCTCATTCGCGTTTTTCTTCAGGAGACTGCCTTTCTTCAACGCCGGCGGCGCAGCAGCACTCTTTTTCGATGATACTCCCGTTGCTGCATCGTCGGCCTTTATTTCCAGACGTGCACGAATGACACCGGCAGAAGTGCCTGAACAAGTAAAGGGATCGTGGTGATTCGTTCTCCCCAGCTCCAGAAGCGGGTCTTCCTCTACGTACGACCAATCTTCATCGGCCACAGCTTGGCCGCCCCACTCGTCCCCGTCGAAGGCCTGCACTTCCTCGTAGCTGCAGCTTCCATGAAGGTGGTCCGGCGCACCGCAATCTTTGCCTTCCGGCAAAAACCCGCTTCGCTTGTCGTCCGAGGCCACCATGCAAAGCGGCAGTCCGAGCTGGTACCGCATGCTCAGGTAGTTGCGAATCAACCCCGCGAGCCCGCGCGTGCTGTGTGCCTGAGACATCCCGTGCACTACCTTCTCATACTGCACGAACGACGGCGGCAGAAAGACCGGCGGCCCCATGAACCCGCCCTGGGAACAGAACTGGGCCCCCGGCCGCGGCTTGTTGTACTTTTTATCGTTTATTTCTCCTGCTCCTTTCGTCCTCTTCTCGGCTACTGCTGGGTCCGGCCTTACGTCGCCCCCTTCAAAACTCCTCCCCTCGTCCACCCGCTGACTCGAATAATCGCCTCGGAAGTTATGTTCTTGAAAAGCCTCCGCCTGCGCTGAGAGACTGCACTGGTGCGCAAAAAAAGGATTGAGCGCGCACATGTCCAGCGCGGGCGTCACCACGGTCTCTGCCGGCAACTTGATTAGGCGGCCGCCGCTCTGGTTGTCGAACCGGGGGGAGTTTTTCACGAACATCTCGTGCAGAGTGAGCATCCACGGCTCCGAAAAGACGTAGACCGGCACCCGCAGCTCGGCCACGAACCTCTTCGCCTTCTTGTAGCTCCAACCCGGTCCACCTCCACCTCCGCTCGCGCCCCTCTCTTGCTGCAGCCAGTGCTCAATCTGCTGCTGCACTGCCTGGAACACCGAGAGCCGGCGGTTGCCGGAAAAAACCACGAACTTCTGCGCACTTCGCGCTGGCGGAATGGTCGTCCCCTTGAAGATGCCTCTCTGCTGTTGCTCGTCTGCCTTGTAGAAGCTCGGATTCACCCACGGAACGCGGATGCGCGGGTTGCGCTCCGCGTCGGCATTGTGCGCGTACCACTTCTTCTCCAGGTCCCCGTCGTACAGGGGGGCTGCGTGGATCGGCGGAATGCTGACCCGATGGCCCCACTTGCTGATCGTCTTCTCGGAGTCCGGCGTGCGACCTTCCCCATCCTCCGGCTCACTGTCGAAGAAGATGGGCAGGAAATGCTTCCACCTCGTCACCAGCGACGGACTTTTACTAGGGTGCACAGCGGTGCGGCCGCCGGCCGGCGCGTGCTGCTCCGTCATGGTGTCGAGCCGGTTCTCCATGAAATTCTGCGCGAACTTCTCAAACACCTCCTGCGCGGTCTGGAACACGTCAAAGTGCTGCTTCACGTTGTGACACGGACGACCTTCTTCATCTTGTTCTTCGCTAGCACGCGAGGAACCAGGTTTCACACCTTTGCCGTCGGTTTTTTTGCGATGTTCATCCTTGCAAGAAGTTGTACTGCTGCTGGTGCTGCTGCTGCTTCGGAACACCGTTCGGGCGTGCTCCTGGGAGAACAGCAGATCGTCGATCTTCACGTACGAGACAGGGATAAGCCAGGCGTCTTGGGGATGATCGCCGCCTCCACCCGTCGGACCGGTAACTGCAGAAGATGAACTACAACCAGTCGTTGTACCAGTGTTAGTACAACTCCTGCTCTTGTGCCGCTTGTAGGTTTGGTGCAGATGGAAGTTGTCGTAGCGGTCCTTCTCGTTTTCCCTCTTCCCGTGGCGGTGGTACAGCAGCAACGGCTCCAGTTCCGCCGTGGGCTCGACGTCCGCATCCGGTAAGTGGCGCACTACCACGAGATTTTTGTTCGGCGGTGGCGAGCGAATCTTGTTCATCTTCGCCTGCTCTTGTTGAGAACCTGCTGCTCCCGGTATTATTCTTCCGCCCCGGTCGTCGGCGGTTGCGGACGCTGTTCCGGAGCACTCGGAGGAGATCTCCGCGGCGGACCGGGCCCCAGTGCTCGTCTTCGTCGACGACGAGACGCTCGCGGTCCGCTGCAGGGCCAGAAAGTCACCAAAATCTTCTTCGGCGTCTGCAGATGCTGACGGCGATTCGTCGATGACGTCATCAAAGCTGGCGCGCGAATCTTCCTCTGATTTGCTGTTAGCCCCACCCTGTGGTCTCGGCAAATCCTCGTTGCTCGAAGCTGTGGTTGCAGCCGCGTCCGCGTCTTGAGACTGGCGCTCCACGTGCTGGCGTTGCCCTGCACTCGCCGAGACCGTGCTCTGCCCGCCCGGGATCGCGGATGACAGCTCTTGGCAGTTTGATATCTTCTCCGCCCCCGGGTCGTCCCGGTCGCAGTGGGCCGGTGCTAGCAGTTTGGGCACCCAGCGCCCACTTCTCGAAGGCAGCACCAGCGGAGGACGACTGGCCGTGTAGTGGCGGTCATTTTTAGTTTTACTTGCTTCCTCGGTAAATAACCCCGTCCCACCTGCCTCTTCCGATTCTTCCGCACTGTGCCGTTGCAGACTTCGGGCGAACGGAACGGGCGGGGGAATGTCAGTATTGAGCCCGCCTTCTCCCACATCCGTGTAAGCGGGGAGCGGCGCCGGCTCTGTCTCATCGCGCTGATCCTGCGACGCACTCCCCGTCACTCGGTCCTCCTGTTCTTGCGCCGGACTACTGCGGACTTTCCACCTGGGCAGCTGCTTCGTGTATCTGCTACTTCTCGTCCCAGGAAGCAAGGCCGCGGGGCTGGACGTAGTTCCCGCGGAAGTGGAAACGTGCGCGGTCACTTTGCTCGCATCCTGGTGGTTCAGGTTCTCGCGGGGAACATCTCCCCCCTCGGTTGATGCCTTTTTCTTCCACCGCATTGCAGCAGATTTCGAGTCCGCGTCCACCCCGCCCTCCGCCTGCCAGGGCGCGACGCGGGCAGAAGTACTCCCAGACGCACTCGCAGCATTCCACGAAGACGGCTTCGGTCTCCACGCAGCGTACGCACGATCCGGGACAAAGACAAAAAAAACTGCAGCGCCGGCGCGCAAAAAAAATTTTTGAATCGCCATGTTATTGTGAGATAGATGAGGCGCACTGATGTGTGATTCCATGCACAAGGCCTTTTTCTTTTTCAATACAATTGCTGGGAATCACAAAAAAACAACATGTCTGCTCGCTTCTAGGCCGGGGCACTGGCAAATCATTAAAAAAACAAGGCGAGGACAAGCTTCCTACATAGTTTGGATCATAAAACGCACAAAAACAAAAATGCATAAAGAAAGCAAAAGGATTTACAAAGGAGCTGCAAAGTGTGCCCATTAAAGAAGAAGCATGATGATAGACCTGGTAAATTCAGAATTACAAATCGGATACGGTGCCGCCTGAGTGAGAAAAAGGAGCAGAAAGGAACGCGATGCGCATGAACTCGGACACGGACTCTGACACTGGAATTAGAAACTAAAAGATCATTTATCGCGACAGTCGCACACATGTAAACGCACAGCTGCGAGACCAAGTCAAAACCAGATCACAGACGGTTTGCGATTCCTTGTTCGGATGTTTTCGTCTCCGGGAAGTTTTTCCAATAGATACTGTAACGAATAAATGCTAAAACGCTCGCATCGGCGATAGGTGACCACGGGGCGACAGCAATAGGTTATCGCAGACAGCTGATTAAATTCATCTTCATATCAACTGACTTTTCACTCTGACGACAAGTGTCTGCTGCATTGAGATCCACATTCAAATAACATTGCCAGCATCGAGCTTCGACATTCGCGGATCAAAAGCAGGTTGCCCCGAAGCACAACCGAATAACAACAGTCCAGCTGCACTACTTCCGCGCAACGCCAGCCGCAAAAGCTTGTGGCGCTTCATCTCGGCGCACGAAATTGGTTCTGGGGGTCTAACTTGTAGCAAACATATGCGAAGTCAAATCGGGGTAGGAAAAAGCGGTTCCCACATCGATGAAACAAACCCGAATGTAGCGCTAGTTAGTATGGTTGATTCTTCTTTTTTAGAAACATTTAGATTTACTGGAGCGGTAAAAACAAATCAAGGGGTCGCTAACGTCTAAAGGTAAAACCGACGCCAAACGGTTCTCGTTCGGCTTCTTTGGCAACAGTTTGCTCCATTACAACGTTCTTAAAGCATGTCGCAAGACGATTTCAAGTCCTGTAAAATTAGATTAAACAGGAACTGTCAGAAAAGTTGGAAAACCTTGGTTGTGACTCTGCTGCTTGGCTCTTGCTCGTCTGCACGTAGAAAAAATATGCATCTGAATACTTATGGCCCCGAAACTGAGAAACTCAAAAACGGCCCAGAAAGCGAGCGAATCGCGGCGAACGAAACTTTTGAATCTTTGAGCTTAACTCTGCTTCAAAGCTATTTTGATAAAAATCTCAAGCCAACGAAAAAACTCATGATGATACAAGAATCAAACACAAAGAGATTGATATGTAGCTTCACAATGAACGATACAAGAATGTTTGCGACTCCGTCCACTAGAAATAGAGACTTGTTGGGTCTTGCCGTGCGAAATTCAGCTACCACCGGAAAAATGCACCGAGGCAGCCATTTTTTTGGCCGCGGCGATGACTTCCGAAACAAACCGCTGCACCAAAAAAGCGGCCGTCTGAGAACGAGCCGCATCGGCCGCGCTCTGTTGGGGTTGTTCATTGCTCTTTTTGCGGGTCCGGCTCTTCTTTGCGGCTCCCTCGCCCTCCTTGACCACCAACTTCCCCGTGTTCGCCTTGTCCTGGAACCGCAGCATGTTCGCAACCCGCAGAAACGACGTCTCGTCCGCCCCGAACTCTTCTAGGAACTCAGATGAGTCGCGACCTTCATCACGAGCACGTTGCTCAGCAGCCTCCGCCAGGCTTCTAGAGACGGCCGCGTGGCTGCGAGGACTTTGCGCGGCGGCAAAACGGTAGTAGCCGTGATCAGCCGGCAAACGGTAGTGCTGTCCGGCGGGGACTCCAGGCTTCCCAGAAACCGGGTCGGCATCAGCGGAGAGACCCCGCTCGTGGTTCGACAAATGCGCAGGCGCCACCGCCCCGACAAATTGCGGCAACGCTGCAGTTGCCGCAGCTGCTTGAAAAGTCGCAGTGGTGGTCTTCGATCTCTGCCCCCCCCCCCGGTTTCCGGCCCGTAGGGCAACACGAGGCGCGGCCTTTCCCTGCACTGAAAAGCGCTTCACCATCTTGGAGAGTTATTATGATTAAGTACTCTTGCCAGAGCGCTAGTGGGGACGTTTCTCGTTTGGGCAGTCACAACCCGGTGCTGCGTGAGACACTGTTGAAATCGCCTGTCGCAAAAGTAAAGATCAAAAAAGCAACACTACGATGCAAACACGCCGATCGAATACTCTTTGAAAATCCTAGATTGATGCAAAAGCGTTTGCGAGACTTCAGGCCAGTGAACGATGTGTGCGACGCAACACCGCATGGCTCCACGACGTTTCATTTTTGAACGAAGACACGAAAGCGCACGACACAAGAGAAACTGCTGCACGTTGCAGACGAAAAAGAAACTGCTGGACGTTGCAGACGAAAGACGCAGCACCACTGCAAGCTATGCCACGATGACGAACAGCTACGCCGAGCGCTTCATCATTTCTATGTACCCTTTGCAGAGTTTTCCTTTCTCTTTCTTTCCGGGCATGACAGAAAAAAATACTTAGCCAACTAATGTACAGTGAAACGTGAGTACCATGCTCTGCAGTGATGATCCTATGACTCAACTGATATTTTTCTACCAATGTGCAACTCATTTGTCTAGCGCAAGAACGTTTCGATGCAGTAGTATACATTTTGAATAGTATCATACATTTTCCCATGAACAAAACTTGGAGAAAAAACAAAAAAATGCGTTGACCGGAAACCATGGCTATGCTTCGTAACTAAGTAACATTTCATTCCAAAACGAAAGCAACAAGAGCTATTTGATGCTGATGCGTAAAAATGTAAGGTTTGAAAGGATCGGACCGAATGCTGACATCAACATGACGATGACGAACGGAAGAGTATACTATCATTTCCATCACAACCTCAGCTAGTGCAACATCCAAATTGTGCGCTTCGCCTACTCGAAGAGCGGAAACTTGGCCTCGACCGAGTAGGGGTTCAGGACGTCAATCAGGAAGGCGATCAGCCCCCCAAATCCGTTCCCGAGTTGGAAGTCGATGGCGCCCAACGTGTCCACGTGTGCGTCCACTTTATCAGCACGAAAAGCGCTGTTACCCCGGCATGGCGAAATGTTTGTATATGCACAAACTACGCATTATTTGCCTAGTTATGTCTGACCATGACACAAAGAATTTCCGCCCTAAATTAGCGACGAGAATCTGTGCTCTTGCGCAGCGCCGGGCTATAAGTGGAATTTGTCAACCACATAAACATACAACGACAACCTCGGCTTCGATATGGTGAAACATCAAAATACGCCACGTAGTTCGAGTTCCCTGCTTGCAATACAAAAGGTTCCATCACCATCCGCATCAAAGTTTGCAAGACAAACAGTTCGCCCTCCCCGGGTTGGAGCACGACCACGACGACAACATCTTTTCCCTTCGATACATCTGGTCGCACATCAGGTGCGCGAGCTGCCGGGCGCGGAACATCCACCTCGCCGACTCCTCCGGGTCCTCGCACGCCTTGGCCATCCGCAGCATCGCGTACGCGTTGCCCGTATCAGCTGTAAAAATGTCTGGGTCTGGATGATTGCAACTTGTCATGCTGTTTTTGGACTCTAAAAAAATTTGTTTTGCATGACCAAGAGGGGTGCAGTTTGTGCTACGCGGACAGGGCATTTCTCATGCGGTACAGGTATCACAAAGCGCTCTAAAAATCTGTGATGCTACGGCTTGCATCACAGACATCATGGGTCATGAGAAATATGCATGACAAATCTTGCATTCTTCCAGACCCAGACATTTTTGCATTTGATAGCCCGCGCACCCGTTGAAGAGGCGCGTATCGAGCACTCGGTTCTTCTTGCTGAATTCCACCAGCTATCAAATGTAAAAATGTCTGGGTCTGGAAGAATGCAACGAACTTGTCATGCTAAATCTGAAGCATGCAAAAATCTGTGTTGCATGATTACCAAAAGTCGTCCAGTTTTGACCAAGTCGGGAGGGAGTTTCTCATGCAGGATAGGCATGAGAGAGATCGCACAGAATCTGTCATGCTAGGTTCTGCATTCCAGACCCCATGGGTCATGGAAAAACTGCATGACAAATCGCGCATTCTTCCAGACCCAGACATTTTTACATTTGATACCAGCTGGTCCTGCTGCACCTTCTCCCCCAGCTTGAAAACCCCACCGTCCCAGGTGGCCGAGTTCCGCACGTTCGCGATGCGGGCCAGGGCGTTCTTGCCGTGATTGATCAGGAAGGGCCGGGTCGCGATGGACCGCCCGGTCTTGGCGGACAGAACCAGCGGCTCGTGCGAAAGCCAGGACTTGGTGTCCGAGTACACCGACCGCGTCGAGGTGAAATACTTGTCGTGCAAAATGCCCAGTCTGTTTGATGATAATGTGTCATCAGAAAATTGTTGGATTTCGATTTTGCTCTTCGCACTCGAAGCGCTGCGCGTGAAGTGTTCGCATTGAGGATTGATACCTCTATCGCAATTCAAAAATTCTGAAAGCCTCTGCATTGCATTTCTCTTGAAGATCAAGTGCAGATTCGGTGCTGGAAACAAAATTGATAGTAATAGGTCTTCTTACTTGTCTGGGTGTGAGACGTTCATGGGCATCTCGGACTCATCTGCTTCACCGCTCTGCTTGTTCTTCCCAAACGGGTTCCCGCTCTTCTTTGGGCTGGCACTGGGATCCTTGGCCGGCAGTAAGAAGCCCTTGATCTGCGCCTGTCGCCCACTGCTCCGCGCCGTTCGGTCGGCAACGTCGATGCCGTACACACGGAAGTCCTTTCGCTCCTCTTCATCGCTGCCAGGGTCCTCCTATGAGAGTGCACAACCCCCCCCTCCCGGTCCCGGTCACTTCTATGGCATGAAGAGCAATCGAAGCACTAGCACACGTGGATCCTTTGCACGACAGGTTCATGATTCGGCTAGTGTTGTACTATTTCTATTTGTATTTGCGCTTCCGGAATCTGTCATGCATTATATTGCAATGTAAAATCAAAATGAAGTGACAACAGGTAGCAATTGGATTTGGGACTTTGCATGATGAGAAACGAGGACGAGGGGGAATTGTGCACTCTGATGCCTCTCCGTCGTCGTCTATCAGCGACTGCTGCGTCGTGTGCCCCGAGGACTTGTTTCCCGCCAGTGACAGCTGTGCTTGCGCGGTCTTTTCCCGCTGGGTCCGGTGTCGCGACGTCGCGCGGGGCGGCAGCGGCGGCGTGGGGGAACTGTTGTTGTAGGCGCCCATACCGCTCACCGACGTGGAGTGGCCCTTGAAACTGGTTTGTGTCAGCGTCGTGTTGTGGTGGTGCGCCGGCTCGAAACTGGACGAATGCCCGTGGCCGTGCATCGTCGTGTCTGGACAAGGATTTTTTATTTGAAAACAATCACAGGCCGTACCTTTTGTGTCCATAAAGATTGATGAGACCATGTTGTTTAGTAACTATGTATAGAAAGCCAGCAGAATCACAGAAGCTGCCCGCCACAACGAACTTCTGTGCAAAAATCCAGCGAAAAAAAAAACAGCCAAAAATGTGTAATATTGTACGACTGGCCCCGTTCATGAAGGCGGCGGACTTCGCCTTCTGGCCATTTGCATCGTACTGCACCAGGGCAATGCTCAGCTCCGGAGCCTTGCGCACCTCCTCCTGCTCCACTTCGGCAAATGTCATCGCCTCTTTCCAAGTGTGGTCGGCCGCCCGTTCCGCTGCTTTCAAGAAAGAGTCCCGCTGAAAAACCTGTTTCGCGGTTCCGTACTCAAGCTTTATGATTGCGAATTTTTAGTTTTTTCAGATGGATCATTACTGCAGTGCTAATATTAACCTGTATTAAAAACCGTATGCAAATCAAAAACAGCAGGAAGTACCTCGTGCGCCAGGGAGAAGAGCCACACCGCTGACGTCGCTCCGTTGTGAAAGGTGTTCTCCGTGAAGCGGCCCCCGCTCCATGGTTCTTCCAGATCCTTCGGGTAGCCATTCCAGATGTGTTATCCCCGGGGACAAATACCGTTTTTCTTTTTTCGCAAACTAAGTTACGACCAGGATGACCAAAGGCATTCCATTCCAAATCAAAATGCAGGACATACAGTAGATGCAAAATATTTTTACCTGCAGCATGTAATTCGCACTCATTTCAATTCTGCAGCTCTGAGTTCAGTTTCATGCAAACATGCCACACTGAATCAATGAAATTCTTGAACTCTGTACTTCTAAGCAACGTCTTTCACCTCCACGAATAGCTGGCCACTGCGGAAAAAGGAACTATCGTTGTAAACTCTGTTCCGCGGGATAGATTCTCCTTCGTTTCCAGGAACAGCAAGGAATCCAGTAACTCCGACTGCCACTCCAAAACCTCGAGGTCGCGCTTGTTCCATTCCCGCAAGATCAGCAGCAGTACGTGGTAAATGCCCATCAAGCCTGTCAAGAGGAAGAAAGCCCCCGTTGCAGTACCACACTCAAAATGATATCGAATGGTGCACCCACATGCTCGACTGGTGAACACAAGTTCCATTCCTCATTGGCGCTTGGCCTACAGTAAAGGACAAGCATCGAGCTAGGAGACTGGTGCAACCCTATTGACAGTTAGAATCTCCCTGCACTCGCTCCAACATGAAGATCATGCGACGTTTCAGTAAGTATATGAAAGCTCCGCCTATGGCAATGAGGCTTTCTTCATTTTGATAAGGCCCATTGAGCCGCCCACGTCACCTTCGTTGATCAGCAACGTGTTCCTAAGCGACTCTGGGGTCATTTGCCGGCACCGAAGAGGCAACGAGACAAACACAGACGAGGACGGAATCGTGGTGGTCTCGTACCGATTGTGGGAATGAAAACGCTCGCTCCCGGGCGTGTCTTCTTGCGGTAACTGACGTTCTCCGATAAGAAAAAAGATGACAGAGTACAAAAACCAAAAACAAAGTAGATCTGGCATAAAAACAATTTAGTACAAGCTTCTTCTGGCATAAAAACAACATTTGCACATGCACAGCAAGAACACGCGGACATATAATATCAAGAGCTGCGATTTTCATTGCGATACGGGTGCTCCCTTGCAAACTTGCCCAGCGACTCCACCATCTGTTCGGCGTTTACGCGGATCATCTCCAACAGTCTCTTCTCGGTCTTGTCGTACCTAAGGTTTGATACATTGTGGTAACTGCGCAAATGTTGTCTTATTTGGAAAAAACTCTAAAAATACTGCGTCAAACACAACTTAGTGCTACATCATGACTCTTGAAAGGCGAAAGCACCGAAGAACCTGCAAGCGGAGAGCAACCAGAGCAGGGCCCGCAGGTAGCCGGCGCGTCCGCACAAAAAACCCTCGCCTATCAAATGCAAAAATGTCTGGGTCTGGAAGGTTTTGAGACTTGTCATGCACGTTTTGCATGAGCCGTGATGTCTGTGATGCATGCCCTAGCATCACAGATTTTTTGAGGGCTTCTTGATGCCTATTCCGCATGACAAATGCCCTCTCCGCGTAGCAAAAATCACGCTCCCTTTGCTGCTCACACAATACAGATTTTTGTGGAATCCAAGTGCAGCATCACAAGTTCGGGTTCTTCCAGACCCAGACATTTTTGCATTTGATATCGCCTTCGCCTGCGCGGTATTCCATCCAGTTCACGTTTTCTTCGAGCAGGTTTATCATTTGTCAAAACGTCCCCACCCCAGAGTTGTCATGCAGATTTGCGACGACAGGAACATCTGTAATGCGCATCGCCACGAGAGGCATTTCTAGTCGTGTTTAGGCATTTGTAATGCTGTAAACAGGATGAGCAGATGGGTTTCTGATGCGGCTGGCATTGTTAACCTGCACTACACTACGGACTGCAACGTGTGATGCGTGACCCCCAAACGTTCTACGTTTGTGTTGCAAAATCCCCATCGTGACTCTGGGGTACGAATGTTTTTACTCAGGATAAGGTTCAACTCCACCTCATCCTGCACCGTGCCAGTAATGTATGCGGTATCCAGCTTTCCTATGCCCGCAAAGTCTCAAGTTGTTTCGGACAGATCTATCATCATGATACCAGTCTCTAGAGCTCACGATCCAACAATACCACACAAGCTGAAGAATATTTTCAGAGCTGAACGTCCACCAGCGTGTACAGAAAGATCTACTTTTTTTCTTGCTGATCTACGTACAATTGGAAACTCATGTTCCGGTTATGCAAAAAAGAAATAAACCGACGGAAATGACAATTGCGTCGTTTGTGCGCAGATGACCGACTCTTTTCTGACTCAGGACTTTGTTTCCATACCAGTCAGCCACCTGTGGTACATGCGCGCAAAGCGCAGACCCATAGAGCCTGTTGTGCTTTTTAGATGGTATCACACAAGATTTTCCCAAATGATGCATGCAAGCAAGTATGTTTATTTCACTGCGCGGCACCTAGCCTCTCGTGCCAGTTTAGTGTACTTCTAGAGTCGTGAATACTTTCTTCAATCATGCGCATGCCAAACTCGTTTTCCAACTGACATATACAATACCAAAACTCCTTTACCTGTCCACAGGGACGACTTTTCTCTTCGGTCTTGTCCCCAGGTGATGCTGGGTGTGAGAAAATCCGAGATAGCCTGGTCCAAGTGGCGGTAGTGCAACTGGTCAACCAGTTCGTGCATGAAGTACTCGTGCCCGAGGAAGTAGCTCTTGTTCTTCACGAGGAGGAACGCGCAACCGGCGCGGCCCCCGTACAGACTGTCGCGGTTGTTCACTTCGCACCCGGGGGGAAACACCTTGTGCAAAAACTTCCGGGTCAGCTTGTCCAGCGTCTTCGAGATCACCTCCGTCTGATGCTTCTCCGCTTCCTCCGGATGCAGAGGCAGGTTCGGCACGGTCGGGTCCTCCTCCTGCGACTCGGACACCAGTTGACTTGGCAGACACAAGCCCGCGGGATTTCCATAGTCCGGCAGCACGTTGTCGAAGCTGCTCACGCCGGCCTTGGACGCGCTGCCCTCGGGCGAGAGGCCGGGAGTCACCGGCAGCATAGTCTGATCCTGCCGATTTTTTCTTTCAGTCGACCAAAGATGCGAGCTCTTGGAAACGAGCTATTCTTGCTATTGCTGTCCTTTCTTGTGCAACGGCACAATTATGAGCAGCACAATAAATTAGGGTGCGCTTGATGATGATATGATTTTACCAGTCAAATCAAAACTGTTAGCACTGGTAGTACAACACCTTTGATTTTACGATTACGTCGTTCTTGAGCTTTACCCACCCCCTTCAATGTCAATATATATGTACACAGAGCGACAACTATCTTCCCCTATCCTTCGATCGAAAAAAAAAACTGGAAGGAACGACGAGAGTAAAGAAACCATTTTGCAACCGCTTACCTTTTGCAAACAAAAATTTAGATAGTGTGTCACGATTTGGAAACCATCTCTGCCCGACGACGAGGACTTTGTACGAGTTTGGAACTAGATTCGCTGGCGCCTGCGAAAAAATGCGTGATCGTTACGTCTACTTACAGCTTCACTTCCAGATGAGGCCAGAGCAAGTCAAGAAATCAAATGCAGCAATAAAACCGATCTACGTGGTGCATACGTGCTTTGAATGACGAAGAAGTAGGCGGACGACAAACAATCAAAGGCCATTATCCCCCGATGAGATTCTACGATACTTACCAAAACAGCCATTTTGGAGCGGTGCAATTTTTTCTTGCTGTTGCTTTTTACGTTCACGAAAAAAAAAAAGCAAACACAGTGAGTCGCACTTGTGAAGTTTTTCGGAAGAAAAGAACAGCGTCAAAGAGTCTTGTTTTCATCAAAAAACACGTGGCGCCGCTCTCCGGCGTGCCAGACTGCCTTTTGGTCTTCACGGTTGCTGCATGAAGCGGCCTGGTAGGCAATGCTTAGGCTTTTTTTTAAGTACTTCTGGCAAAGAGAAACGAATAGCGAAACCTGGTACAGCCAACGACAACTTTTCCGGATCTTTTTCTGTGAGATTCAATCACGACTTGTCAAGAATTCCTGTCTCCCTTGCAAATAACAGCTCAACAACGCTTTCCGAAATTTAATATTACACACAAAGTTTAAGACCTCCTAGTACTTGTGCTTTATTTCTTCGCCTATAAGAAACTTAGGACCTCCATTCTACTCCTTGACCTTGTGACTAGCAGATTAGGCGGTTCGCAGCGGTCTTACAGATTTTTATATCGAGGTCCTTTCCCATCCCTTTTGCACAAGAACTACTACTACCTCTATACTCTAGCGCGAACAAGACAAGTTCGTCCCTAAATATTGATATCTCGAAACTTGGTGCGCTGGCCATTACAGTAGACTCAGACTGCTTAAAGGTAAATAAGAAAGGTGTAACAAGCTATAATTCCCACGATGATTATTTCCCATAGATTTTTTGTTCTGGATTGATTTCTTGTCTCTAGCTGCGCAGAAAATAAGTGCGGTCCCTCCAAACTGTAAATGTATAGTTCGACGAGCTCTTGCTTCTACTGTGCATTTTCATGAGGCTGTCCGGTCGTTAGTCGTCACGTTCACATCACACAGGTGGTTGTGTCAGTTCCATCTCCTATAATCTCGATGTTGTAATCTTCATCTCTTCATACGCAACTACCAGCACAATTTCACCGCAAGCTAAATTTGCATACGCGACCCCACTGCGAGCGGACTAAAATTAATCTCAGAAGTAGTTGGAGGTACCGTGCGTAATATAGCACGGCAGAGGCAGACTGGCAAGGTTGTGTACGTGGTATCCTCGGGAGCGCCTGGTATGAAGCAAGTTGAGGCAAAAATTGCAGGTCATCTGGTAACTACGGTAATAAATTAGGAAGAAAAGTCGCGGTTTAAACAAACTCTGAAGTATTTAGAGAAGTTGCGGAAGTTGTGTTCTTGCCAGTTGTGCTTATTTCCGGGTTTTGGCTGTCGTAGCGCACGGTTGTAACTAACAGTTCCCTGAAGCTCGTTTCTCGGTTTTGTTATGAGCACTTCCTGCCCGTAAGTAATCTTGTCTAGCAGGCTGCTTCTCTTGTTTGCGGCTCCGAAGTAGTGCAGCAGTTTTTACTCCGCCTCTGCTCCCTACAAATTGGTAGAGGCTAGCAAAACCACAGAGGTTTGCTGCTGGTTCTTGTCTTGTAAATCTCGTACAACTTCAGTGAGTTTTATTTTTCCGAAGGAGAGTTCGTACGCTCAAAATTTCAAAACGAAAAGAAGAAAAGCTCGACATTAATCAAAAAAGTGTAAAGAGGTCGCAGTACCACCAGCCCTCCTGAACCCCGTCTGAGAAGAAGCGGGCCAAAGGCAGTGCTGGAAGCACAGGACACTAGTAGGTAAGTTCATGCTGAATATTAAACTGTTCATCAGATAAAAACGGAACTCGACGCACATTGTAACACCTAGAAGTAGCTCGGATATTTTAGACCTGGTACCTCCAGTACGGACACGAGACAGAACCACGCCGGGGGGAATTCGTAATTACAATTGGGAAACACACACGATGATAGCCCGGGCCTCTCCTGGTCTCAGTGCCTACTGGCTCAAATTCTGGGGTAGTGATTGGAAAAAGAAGCAGCTACATATCGAGAAACTTTAACTTTCCTGCAAGAAATCTAACAATGCGGGGCTTATATTAAATGGTCAGCTCATTCAAAATTACAAAATCATTCACTAATCAAAGCCTCTTTGAAAGATATTTTGCTGCTTTTTTTAAATATTTTTTTCATTTTCTGGTGCGTAATTATAACGAATAATCCGTACAACTAGGGTGACACATTTACATCAGTCAACGCGTTATTTTACACTTGTGCGCGGAAGAGTTGGAAGTAGTGCGCCGCAAGTGTAGAACTCGGAAAAAAGCGCCACTGCTGTGCATACTTTCGTCGCAAGTTGCCGTGTGGATGAAGCAGAAGTGGAACTGCATATAACTGTAGTTGAAAGAACGGGTTGCTGCCTGCAGTGCTTCTCTCGTAAGTTCGGCCAGTAACAATTATGTGGCTCGTTAGTCATCCTGCACCACCTTTGGTTTACTTCTTTTGAGCAGCAGAAGTGGAGGTCGTAGACGTAGTAGTTGTGATTCCGTCCGTTCCTGCGATTCGTTTTATTTCGTACACGGTGTTGTTGTGACGAACTACGATGAAAATCCCACTACAACTTGCTGGAGAATTTTGCACAGTCGCCTGCTGATGTGTTGAAGAAATCTGCGGGCACGACCTGACGCGAGTTGTCCTGACGGGGCACGGCCACAATCTGGGCGTACTTCCAGATGCGCGCAATCTCCTGGTACGACGGAACGCCGAACGGAGAGTCTGACGTTTTTTCGTTTTTGGTGTTGCAAAAGACAAAGAGAAGTACGACTAAGATGATAAAGAAATCGATGACGAGAAAAACGACAATCATATCCACAGGCATTCCAAGACACGACAACCCCGATAAAGTTTATTTTGTCATCACAGCAACAAACTGAATCAGAAAATCTCGTGGTCATGGTTACACCCAGCCCCCGTGGAGATCATACAGCAAGATTCTCATAGCCGAAGTACCAGCGATTTCCGGCTTTTTGAGCGGCTTGACCGTGCGCTGAAGTTCGCGGTAGGCCGCGCGGGCCTTGGCCAGATATCCAAAGGAAAAATCCCCCCTCCCCATACTGAAACGGTATGTTTCTAAAAATTTGTGATGCTGATTTGTGACCACGAATCTTGTCTCTCTTGCAAGAGGGCAAACTCAGAGACTTCGCGACGATATGCAGGCGATTTGTAATGCTGCAAGGCCTACAGGGAAAACGTCTGCCATGCCAGGCCCTTACACCAAGAGGCCCCCCCTTAGGCTTACGATCTGCGTGCAGTCCTTTACTGTAAGACAAATGTCATTTGTGTACTCAAATACAGCAACACAGATTTCCGTTTTGATATGGGGAGGGGGGATTTTTTCTTCTTGATACCAGATTTCGTTGCTTCGGCGGCTCCGCGACCTGCATTACCACGTTGCTAGCGTCCGTGCTGTATCAAATGTAAAAATGTCTGGGTCTGGAAGAATACAACTTGTCATGCTAAATCTGAAGCATGTAAGAATCTGTGTTGCATGATTGCCAAAAGATGTCCACGCTTGACCAAGTCGGGAGTTTCTCATGCAGGATAGGCATGATAGAACTCTCACAGAATCTGTCATGCTATGTCCAATATACCAGATCCCATGGGTCATGGAAAACCTGCACGACAAGTCTGGCATTCTTCCAGACCCAGACATTTTTACATTTGATATGCTGTTGCCCGCTACGAAGTTCACCTTGCGGCTGCAGCGACGCGCCGCGCGCGGCGCCTCCGGGGGCTGCGGCAGCAGACGCTCGGACCCGCGGCAAAGCAGACAGTCACCCGGGAGGAACGCGCCACGGCTCAAGTCGCGAATCTCGTCCTTGAACAGCTCCTCAGTTGACGGGCAAACCTTGTTAGTTTATTTTGGACGACGATTCATCATCTGCAAAAAAAAAATAAGTATCGTTTCAAGTTATCTACTCTACTGTGCTCCTGCCCGTGAAGCGCAGAGAGGACTTTGGTTCTTTTCTAAGCAGCTATTACATTCTTAGCGAGTTAAAAAAAGTGGCAACATCTTCAATGCGTCCTGCTGTGTTGGGGAAATAAGACCTCTAGTACTTCTTACCTCCCACACGGACTTTTCGTCCAAGAAGTCGTTCACCGCGATGAGTCCCCGCGAATGAACCTCCGGCAGGGTGGGCTCCAGCGCCTGGCGACGGTGGCGCTTCTCGATGATCATGGTGCGGAAGTTGTCCACAAAACTTTGCAGCTCCTTCGGGGTCAGGTCCCCGTCCAAACGCACAACCGTGTGGTGCACTTCGCCAACGAGAAGGGTGAAATTGGTGGACTGTTTTGGAATCAAAATTTTTTTCCTTTGACGTCAAGGAACGGATGAAAAAGACCGCAACGGATGAATCACAATGAGCAGAGAGCAGCACCCGATCAAAATATTAACGTCTGCAAATAAAGTACTATTATACCAAGTCCGGTCGGCTGGTGCGGAGAGAGAAGCCGGAGAGCAGAAAGGGGAAGTCGGGGGACTTGACCTCAACGAACAGGAACATTTTCGCGGCGTCCTCGGGCAGCATCGCGCGGCCAAATTTGTCCTCCGCGGCCTGCAGCGCCGGGGACTCGAAAACCTTCTTCGCCTCGTACACGGGGTCCTGGATCTCGCGCACGGCGGTCACCCGGGTCTCGAATTCCTTGTCCATCCAGTTCTCGCGGGCATCCTCGTCCTCCTCGTCGTCGTCGGAGGTGCTGTCCTCCTCACTGTTGAACACGCGACGCGACTCCTTCACGTGCTCCTCCGACTCCGGCACGCGGACCGACAACACGTCATACCGCGGCTCCTCGCCCGTCTCGAAGCGGTACTGCCGCGTCACCAGGGGGTGCAGCTGGTTCACGTTAAACTGCATCTTCGGCACGAAGGGGTGCTCGTGCGTCTTCCACATTTGCCCGAACGACACGCTCTTGCGACGGATCTGCCAGATTTTTATGTGTTCTTGTGGATCTTCATGATCAAACAAATCCATAGTCTTACATAAGTACTCTGATAAGATTATCCACCGTCAACAGCGCAAACGGAAAAGTATAACCCAGATACATGCAAAAGCAAAAGCTTCTCTTTTGGCATAGTAGTCGCTTTCTGCATACAGAAAAATCCCTCACACCCCGGAACTAGCACCATGCTTGCCCCAACTATACCTCCATCAAGTCGCGGATTTCCTGTCGCAGGACGAGGGCGCGACTGTTTTTCGCCGGTGTGGGGACGTTGGGCAACTTGGGGTAGTAGTAGGTGCCGGCGTCGGCGCTCTGCTTGGTCACAGCCGTGGAGACTTGGTGATGCACCTGGACCTTGCCCTGCTCGTTGGTGCTCACCTGGATCATGGGACGCTGGATTTTGAACTCCGGGAAGGCCTTGGAGGTGAACAGGCGCGAGCTGGCCTCGAAGGCCTGGGAGATGGAGTGCTTGGGGTGCACCAGCGACCAGGACAACTTGCTGCGGTTGCGGATGTCATCCGACTCGGTGAACAGGTTTCGCTGCGGTCGACGGGGTAGTTGTAGTTCTTGCACCGGAGTTGTTGTAGAGGAAGCTGCTGCTCGCGAAGAGCCGACGACCGTTGACATGTTCAGCACCGAGGTTGTCATGGGCTGCGGGCGGTGGTTCCACATCTTCGGCTGCGTCAACTTCGACACGTAGGCGTCCAGGAGCGCGGACCGCAGGCGGAAATCCAGGAAGTCCGGTCCGACAAAGTTCTTCGCGGCGGACCGGCGTTGGGACGCGTGCCCATCTGCTTGCTGCGGAACCTGGAGTGGGAAAAAATTTTTTGTCACAAAACAGCGCATAATTCTATGGCACTACTAAAGTAAATCACCCAAGGGCTCTACCAACTTGTTCAGTTGCTGTTAAAAGTAACAAGCGTAGAAGTATCGAGTAAAAAACGCCGCAGTTATTCTTATTTCATCATGGAATAATAAATACCAGGACCAACTGTCCATTTGCCGGGGCCGGCGTGGTCTTGTGCGGCCTGGCAGTCGTTACCGCGGTTTCCTCGGTACGATTGCGGACGCGCAGGAGCAAGCCCTTGACCAGCGCGCGCACGCGGTCGGTCTTCTTCGTTTCGACCGGGCCAAAGTACTGCTTCGCGGGCACCACCTCCGACAAGTTCATGGCCCGGGGGTTGCCGAACACCGAGCTGGTGGGGAAGGAAAAGGGGGCCAGAATCGAGTTCGGCAGCGGGCCCTCCGGGACGACCTTGCTCATCATACTCGGGGTCGACGAAGTCGGAGCAGTCTTGAAGAACCGGCTCTGCGGGACGGCGCTGTGGCCGTTGTAGTTCATTCCGGAGAGGTTCTGGCCGCGGTAGGTCCAGGCCTGGAACTTCTTGGGCAGCGAGGAGGTGGGCGGCTTCTTGTAGATCGGCTGCTGCTGCTTCCACTGCTTCCAGGTCGCCGGCGACATGGCCGCGGCGCTGGTGGCCAGCGGGGCCGCCCGGGGGGTTGTGCGCGCCACAATCATGGACGAGTTGAACGCCGTCAAATCGTAATCCAACAGGCGGAACCCGGACGACTGGTCAATGGGCTGCAGCTGGTGGAGCTTCGTGTTGATGCCGGTGGCGACGGGGGACGCCGCGGGCGCGGCGAACAGGTACTCCAGCACAAAGGACACCATGCACAACGCGATCACGAGGAAGTAACTGGCAACCACCGTGAGCACCACCGCAGCGACGGACTTCACCAGGCGGCTCGGCTCCGGTGACTGTCTCTTCAAGGGGCTCTCGCTGTCCGAGCCGCTGGAAACCAGTTCCTGTTTTTTGGATTGTGTTCTTACGACTTCATGACTTTAGAATGTTTTTTTCCATTTTTTCGACGAGAGGTCGTCGTAAGCTGTAGGAACTACTTCACGCGGAAGATGATAAACAGGAATTCTATCTTGAGATTCGCGCCTCGTCACGATAGGGACGCGAAACTTCTAATCGTATCGTTTTACAAAAGAATGTACTTGCTCGTCGTCAATTTGTTCCCAGTCGCTGTCATCGGAGATGTCCGCAGAAGTCCACTCATCATCCTCGCCCTTCGCGGAGGTTTTGCTGCACCAGAATCTGCGCAGATAGGCCGACATGCTGGTCAGTCTTTCTTTGGCCGACACAAGAGGGGAACCCTTCTTCGTATACAAAACTGGTTCCTCCAAGGAACCTCTTGCTGACCCTGTTACGTGCAACTTTGCTGCGATCTCCTCGCTCGCGCAACGCAAGTGGCTGCTCTCTTCCGGTACTAGAAGGGAACACCACTTCTACAAAACTAGAAAAATGGGTTGAAGTTGTGTAGATGAATAGAGGGGGGGGGGAGATTCTTGCAGAGGTCAACAGGTGAAAAGGGATTGATGTCTTTTTGTTTGTTGTAAATTCTTAGAACGAGGACAGGGGTCGAGACGAGAATGTATCAATGGGTTCAAAATTTTGCAAAATTGTTTAAAGAAATGATTAGCAGTGCTTGAATGTTGCCAAGTTGACAAGCAACGACCCTGCAAATACCTCAAGAAATATTGGGGTAATGCACCGTCGGGGCCGTTTTTCTGGAGAAATGAAATACGAAACGATTTTTATAGGCAAACAAACACATAATTGCACCTGCGATACCTGCAACAGACTCGAAATTCTTCGCTCACACACTCGCTCTCACCTCCACTCGGTAGTCTTGTCAATTTGTCCCTCGAAGCAAATTTGCAATGAGGCTGGACCGATATTCGTGATTCACAGCGTGATGGTCTACGCAACCGAGCGTGCGTCTATTTGCTGTTTGTGGTGTATCAACAAACGAAGCCCTGCTATCATTGTTGACAAACGTCTTCCCGAAGTGTAATCTAGACCAGATTCCGATCAACGCGAACTCAGCTGCTTCACAACTTGTGCCGAAAACGCTGCACTGTTCCAAGCTCACCGATTTGAAATTTTTCCGATATTAGGATTCGTTTTCTTCTTTTCAAGACTGTTGAATGCAGATTCAGAAACCGATACCAGCCTCGGCGGTCACTAATGAGCGAATAAACTACAACCACAACTAAAATCTTACCCACCGCCAGGCTTTGTACCGAAACGAAACTAGAAAGTACCCAATTATGACAAGTATCAAAGACGAAGCTTGAAACGGAGACAAGTCTGGCTTCAACATTTGCAAGACCGCATTACCCCAGAACCAAAAAGACAGCACTGTAATATTGAAGGCGATCACTCTGCTCGTTTCAGTCATCAAGGCTGGACGGTTTATTTTCATCATATCCAGCTTTTGATGCCCTGTCGCAGTTGCTTGTCCTATGGCATTATCTACTTGTACATCAAGAATGTGCGATGCTGACATGGTGGTCGCACAAGACTCCAGCAGCACCCACAACAGGCAGAGGTTCACGGGCATTTTTCCCAGCGTCAAAATTTCCATGTGCGCCACGGGGTCGTCCTTTGCGGTGGCGAAAGAACAATTTGGGCCGTAGAAGTAGCTTCGCGTGGTGTCAAAATACAGCACGAGGATCCGCGTCCAGAAAACAATGCGGTGCAACCCGGGGTCGCTGGCCCACAGGGTGCCACAGAGCATGTAGAGCTGATGGAGTTGCAGCCTCTGTTCCGACATCGGAGAACGCAGTGCGTCTTGGTCACCGCCTCCGGGTGGTTTGAGTATGGAACGCGTCTCCACGGAGAGCTGCTTCTCCACAGGACGAGAAACTCGCGCCTTTTCATCTATTTTGACAGAAATAATCCCATCGTTGTCATTGCTGTTTATAAAATCCTCATTACTGAGGAGTGGTTCCGTGGGTCGCACCTGTCCGGCAACCAAAACGTCGTTTCCACTCTTGCTCTCCTGCTGCGCTTGCCTCCCTTCCTCCTGCCGGTCGGTTTTTATTTTCCTAGCGTGCTGGATCCCCCGCGCGATTTGCCCGCTGCTGCAGAGAAACAGCCCTACGGTGTAGAACCAGACGGGCGAAGGAAACGGCGCCCCGTAGGTGTTCTGCCACCAGACCCCCGCGCTGAAACCACCGAGAAAAAGTGCCGGCAGCGCCACGTAGTATCCGACGAGCTTGTGTCGCTCGTACGACAAACGTTCCGCCGCGTCGTTATCGAGGGCGCAGCTTTTGTCGAGCTCGCCAGTACCAGATCCGGTCAGCAGAGGGGAGAGAACTTTATCACTGACAACTCTATGCGCCGCGGCTGCGGGAGTTGCTGTGCCATCTTTTTCAAACGCGAGTAGTGTTGATCTGCGGTGCCGCGCCTTCGTTACCGGTCCCGACACATTGAACTGGTAGACGGCAGCGACAACCCAAGCTAACATCGAGAACAAATGCACCCAAAGAGAATAACCCTTTGCACCCGAATGCGGACCGTCGGTGGACGCGTCCCAGAGGACACCAGTGGTAATATCACTATGAAAAATTCCCCCGCCCCATATCAAAATGGAAATTTCTGATGCTGATTTGCGTACACAAATCAGCTTTGTATTGCAGAGAGGCATTGCGGGCAGATCTCCAGGCTAGATAGGGGCTTACGTGTCTAGTTGTTCAGCATGGCAAACGGCTCCCCTTTAGGCCCACGAGCATGGCAAATCGCTTCCATAATGGGGCGAAAGCTCCTGCCCTTGTCTTCTTGCAAGACAAATGTGATTTGTGACCTCAAATCAGCAACACAAATTTTCGAAGTCATACCTTTTCAATATGGGGAGGGGGGATTTTTCCTTTCAATAGGTAAACTCGATGGAAAGGTTTTTCGCGAACCCTAGCACAGCAACGACGGCGACGTAGGGCGCCAGCTGTGAAATACTTCTTGTTTTTGCGGCCAGCTTCGCTGCTGGTGCCGATACCACTTCGTCGACATCTAATGGAGCTCTTTGACAATATTCATCATTAAGTATTAACTTTTCATCAATCCCGATGGACGATTGTTCTGTGAGCAGCGGCGCGGCAAGCGGATTATTTCGCTGCGCCCCTGTGTCGGCGACACTTCCGCCCGTTGCGTAAACGGGGGGCGTTGCTGATGTCATGGTCATTTTGGTTTTCCGCCGTTATATCACAGCTGGAAAGCACTAGGAAACGCGTACGCGGCAGAAACAGGAGCTGGGAAACATCGAAACATACATCATTACACAAGGGGTCCTGTGAAGTCCTGTTTTTTCCCACAAGCATTGTCACGAAAAGCAGATGAAAAAAAAGTACTTGAAAATCTCCCTCACGCGGGTACTAGCGAGAAAAAAAACGCGCTCCGATAAGTATTTCGCAATTCAAGAAAAATTATCGGTAGCTAAAACTGGTCAATCATGCTCTCATGTGTCTTCTGTCGCTCCTCAGGTCAAAGCCCTCCAAAACGGGTCGTACCCTTGGAAAAATTTCTTCCAAAAACACAACGTTGATCCTTATCAGAACACGCTTTTACTACATCCAAGAAATTCTCTTCCGCCCATGATGCTGATGCCGGCTCTCGTTCCGGTGGGTGTAGTTTCGCGCGACTCGGTGAGCGAGCTGCTGATAGTACAAGATACAGAGTCCGGCTAGGTAAGACGTTTGACACGAAGGCATGATCGGATGAGAAAGATGCTGTTCCTCCCCGATCACTTTGTTCTGCCGCCTGCTATTGTTAAGGTATAAAGGAACCGACTTCACGAACTGCGAAACAGGTCGCAGCTACATTGAGTTTGCGATAATCAGATAAGGATACTAAAATAAGGTTTCTAAGTTTGTTGTAATATCACATCAAATTTATTCTTTAGATTTGATCCTCCGCGAAGGACCGTTTTTGCGTTTCAGCCTGCAGCGCTCTGCATTGCGTTCTTGCTGGCTGGCGCACACTTTCCACATGCGCCAGCTTTGCTTGTCTGATAGCAAAAGTGTTTCCAATAATCCAGACTGAGTTTGAAGTTTATTTCTGTCGAATTCATACTTGAAGTTTCTAGTTGATCAGCCTTCGGAAGCTGCAAGCATTTGAAGTACAACATTTTTACAGTGCAACTAGTGCATATAAGCATATAGACTTCCATTATAATGATGTTTCTTTTTCGCTTCTTTACTCCACATAGTACTTAATTTTTGACCACGGGACGGGGTCGCAACCGCGGATCCGAAATCAATCGCAGCCGCGATCCTTTTGGGTCTAGGTGCAGCACGGTTCTACCTAGCTGAGTATCCTCTACGGGAAACCAGCCAGATTAGTCCGCCACGCCGCGGTGCCCGCTCTCGTCGTGCACCTGAACGAAGGACGGGAACGTTTTTTGCCTCAGCCGGTCCAGCTCGGTCCGCAACGTCTTCAGCTCCTCGTCCTGGTTTGTCATGCGGTCCTGCATCACTTTTCGTCGCCGGGCCTCCGCGAACCGCGTGTTGGGCGTCTTGTAGTCCAACTCCGCAATCGCCCCGCCGCCGCCGATGGTCTTTTTCCGCTTGCCAATCATGTGCAGCGGGGTGGTGGTGCCGCCCTGCTGCAGGTTCTTTATCTTTTGCCGCTCGTTCACCGACTTTACCACGGAATCCAGCTCATTGGACATGCCGTCGTTCTTCTTCTGCAGCTTCCGTGTGTCCTGCGACAATTTCGTGTACTTCATCTTCCAGTTCGCAATGTTGGTCACGCCGCCCTTCGTCACGTGGTCCAGCTTCTTTTCCAGAATCTCGATGGCTCGCTGCCGCTTCTTCTCGTCGCCGCCTGGTTAGGTCGGGATCAGGTGGGGGTCACATACTTGCGTGCCCTTGCAAAACATGTATGATCTACAAAGTACAGCTCTCCAATCATGCAAACGCTGCAACAATGTTGATCCTCATCGGACCGACAGTTTCGCTGAAATCGCAAAAAAAAGCAACGTTTTCTTCACGTCATTCCGCGGAAAGAAAAAATTGTATACCGCTCATGATTTCCTGCACGTCCTTGGTGACACGCAAGAACTGCACGTCCTTGGTTCGCTCTTGCAGGTCGGTTTTTTGTAGGGCAAACATGTTCTGGTCGTACGCCACCATGTTGATCTTCTTGCGGAACTCGCGAACGGCCTCCAGAAGTCCGACCTTCTCCCCGCCGAGCTCAAGAATCCTTCGGTTCCTCGCTTCTATCACCTCCTTGTGAAACGTCAGCGCGTCGGAATAGTCGGTGACTACCGCTGCGGGCGGCACTTCAACTTGCCCCTGTTTTGTGACAGCACATCGTGAAATCATTCTCGAAAAAAGTACTTACGAATGTTTTAGCGCGCGAAACTGAAGTATCGCCGGACTCGCGGGATTAGAGGAGCGCAGGAATCAATTAGCGCACTACTTACGCGGTGCAGCAGTGTGTTTGCTAATCAGCGCATTACTTAAGAGCCGCGCGAGTTAAGCAGTGCACTACTTAAGGAACGCACTACTTAAGGAGCGCACTACTTAAGGAGCGCGCTACTTAAGGAGCGCACTACTTAAGGAGCGCACTACCGAAGGAGCGCACTATTAAAGGGGTTAAGGAGCGCACGAGTTCATCAGCGCACTGCTTAATGTTGAGCGTACGCGTTAATCAGCGCACTACTTAAGCGACTCAGTGCTTAAAAGGCGCGCGAGTTAATCAGCGCACTACTTAGCTGGAGGCACAGGAGTTAATCAGCGCACTCCTTTACGAGCGCACGAGTTAATCAGCGCAGTTCTCAAGGGGCGCAAGTAGAACCAGTTAGTGCACTGCTTAAGGAGGGCATGGGTTAATAACGAGCGCATGACTCAAGGCACGTCAAATGCAGACGACTTCTGTACTAGGATGCGAGCCAGCAATGTTTTCAACACAGCAATAAACACTTTTCTACCTGCTTCAGCTGCACCATTATCTCGTAGTCCTCTTCCTCGTTTTCAATCATGCTCTGATGCGCTCGCAGGTCGTCCACCTCCTTCTCGAAGACCGCGGTGTTGGTTTCCACCTCGGCTTGGTAGTGGTCCATAAGCTTCACCATCTCCACGTGCACCCCGTTCAACTTTTGTATTTCGATCTCCATCAGCATCTTCTGGTGCTTCAAATCCAGCATCAGGTCGAAGTTCTGCTTCCCGATGCCCTCCATGGAACAGTCCTCGGGGAACTTCAGCGTTTCCTCCGGCAGATTGGGCAGCACCGGCACGTGCAGGGTGTCGATGTTCTCCCCGTTGTAGTCTACCTCGATCATGGGCTCGGGCTTCTTGCTGCTCGGGGACGTGTTGCCCGCGTCCTCCACGGGCGGCTTGAAGGGGTTCAGCTTCTCGATTGTCACCGGAAACGGCATCAGAATCGGGCCCTTCACGTTCACGTCGCCCGCCGCCCCCGCGGGCTTTGGGGGTCGCTGCTTGAACAGCTTCAGGAGGAAGGTCTGTTGATCCGGTTCCAGCTGCGGGAAGTGCTCGCGGAACTTGGACACGAGCTCCTTATCCCGTTTCACGTGCTCCTCGTGGATCTTCTCGTGGGTACGGACCTGGAGGCGCGCAATGTCGATTTAGCTATGGCTGTAGGCGGCTACGAGAAAAAGCAAATTCAGCTCGAACCGATCAAAAACAAAAAGCACTGCAGTCATGCATTTCTTAAACTACATACTACCTTTTCTGCGAACATCTCCAGCACTTCCTCGGCCTCCTGCACCTTGCCTTGCGCGGACTGTATTTCTTGCAGGATGAACTCCTTAATCCCTTGGTCTTCCACCGCTTGCAGCAACGCCAAGAACAGTATCAAATGCAAAAATGTCTGGGTCTGGAAGAGTGCGCGATTTGTCATGCAGCTTTTCCATGACCCATGAGGTCTGGAATGCAGGACCTAGCATGACAGATTCTGCGCGATCTCTCTCATGCCTATCCTGCATGAGAAACTCCCTCGCGACTTTCGCAAAACTGGACGACTTTTGGTAATCATGCAACACAGATTTTTGCATGCCTCAGATTTAGCATGACAAGTTGCATTCTTCCAGACCCAGACATTTTTACATTTGATATACAGGCGGATGATGTAGATCTCCTGCCAGTAGTAATGCAGGTCCGCCTGGTGCCGGTCCGCGGCGAGCAGGGACAGCTTGTCCTCAAAGTTCTTTTTCAGTTCGAGCACCTCCGCGCGCAGCTTCGTCAGCTCCGCGTTCAGCAGCTGCTTGTAGTTCTCCTGCTCGGTCGCCAACGCCGCGCACCGGGCCTCATACTCCACGTACAGCTGCTGCTGCAGTTCCGTCCAGTGCTCGGGCGGCACCTCGTCCATCCACACCTCCCGGTCGACCACCCGCTCCAACGGCGTCAGGTCCTTGTTCGTCTTCAGGCGCCCGCCCATCATCTGTTGCAAGGCACGCTGCCCCGCGTCGTTGGTTTTCTTCGCGGACTTCTCAGCCAACAGCTTGGCCTCCTCGTCCTTTTTCTTCTTCTCCTCGGGCGAGATGTATTTCGCGACGGTTACTTCCTTCTCCTCCACCTTCAAAACGGACTCCGGAACTTCTTTGCCGAGCAGCTCCGGCTCGTCGACGACCTCGTCGATCTGCAGCTCTTTCAGGATGGACCGAATTCGGTCTATCTTCTCTTTGATGTGCGACATCACTTCCTGATAAAGTTTTTGGAGCATGAAAAAACGTATGCAAAAAGATGAAACTTCTTACAACCGTTATCATTTTTTTTTTCAGTCCGCCGAGAACAACTCATCTCGGACCCCCGCGACGCTTACAACCGACGCAGGATCAAAATCCGATCAAGCAGCTTCCACAGTAGCTAGAAGTGATATTAAAAAGCTGCACCTTAAAGAAGTACCTTCTTCGTGCCCTGGCACTTCCCGAATTTCCGGTTGAAAGCTTTCTGCAGATCTGTGGAGAGGGTTTGCAACAGCACAATCTGGGTTTTTCTTCGCATGTTCGTCGTGAGTTCAAAGGGGGTGTACACCCGGTTTCTAACCGCCAGAGAGTCGTCCAGCTCCTTCTGCTCTGCTTCGGTCAGCTTCTTGCCCTGGAAAAGAACGCGTTGTTGAGTCAAGGCAAGAACATTGACTACATCTTCTCAACAGTTGACAGCTTTTTCCGCGACGAAATTCAGAAATCTTTACATGCACATCTTCAGCGAAAGCTGAGTAGATACTTACACTTCCAGACGAGGAAAAAAGTAGATTGATCCCTGCTATGTAGTACAACTCACTCTTTATACCTCCCCCGTCGTGGGCGAGTACAGATTTTCGTCACCTCCGTAGAAGTTGATAAAGTAGGCCCGGTCCATCCCGGGGGGCAGAAATTTGCCCGCGTCCAGATACCAGTCGTTGTCGACGTTCGCTTCCTCCTTTTCCAGCAGCTCTACGTCCCGCAGCTGCGCGATCATCCGGGTCCGCGAGCTCTCGCTCGCGTGCAGCTTCCGCTCGGGGTAGTTCGCGACGCTCTGCGGCCCCTGCAGGCTGGCGATCGTGCACCCGGGGGTCTTCATCGGCTGCCAGAACTCCTGCACCAGCCGCTTGCAGATCAGGTTCCGGGCCAGGTTTTCCCGCTCCACCCGATCCCGGATGTCTTCGCACTGCTTGTCCGCCTTCTCCACCAAAAAGTCCCGCTCCTCGGTGTCGATGCAAAACTCGCCGCGGTCGAGCTTCTCGAGGTCGGGCGCCGACCCGTTGGCGGTGAGGAAGGACGAAAGTCGCTTCCTCAGATCTGTCAGCCCTGACTGCAGCTGCTGCCGTGCCTGTTCGTTCGCGGCAACCACCGCCGGGTCCTCCTCGCCCACGGCCTCCGCCGCGCTCGCGGCGGCCGCCGCTGTTCGTCGTAGAAGCAATTGCAAATGGGAAGATCATCTTCTATGTACATAAGAACCAATCCACGCGGCGTGCGCCGCGTGGGAAAAAATACAACAACTCTTCAGCGTAGGCCACATTTTAATGTTTAGCTCGAGTCTCTGTCAAATTTTGTCTGGCCTGAAAAATTTTCACGCTCGACTTCGTCGGCTCTAATAAAGTGGCCGCGTTTTGCTTTTCTCGAAGTGGCCAAATTCGGGAGAAGACAAAGACGGCCAGCTTTTGGCTTCGCCTCTGGGGCCCAGACTAACGAACAAGCAACGAGGTCGCTTCTCGCTTTACAATAGTGGCCAGCTTTGGCGGCTTTTACTTCGGAGGCCCGGCCAGATCAGGAAGAAACCAGGAAAGAGCTCGCCTGTTGTCCGCTACCTAGCCAGCCCTCGCTTTTTGCCCTTACGAAAGCGGGCAGCTTTGGTTTCTTGACAAAGTGCCAGGCGCTTCTTGAGCGACAGGAATCGCGGCAGCAGTGCGCGAAGCATCTAAACGCGAACGAGGCCCAGCCGGGCTCTTTCCACACGGCGCGCTAGTCGAAGAAAACACTTTTTGAGTTTGCAAGCTTCAGAAAAGCTGCAGAAAACCTTCAGAAGATTTTTGGACCTTCAGAAGAGTCTCAACCTTCAGAAGGCCTTCAGGAAGGTTTTTTGACCTTCTGAAGGTGAAAAAATAGTGCGTCACTTTTTGCAATTTTTTTTGTCAAAAAATGCCATTTTTTTCATTGATTCGGCCTTCAGAAGGTTTTCAAAGCTCCACCTTCAGAAGATCAAAAACCTTCAGGAAGGTCAAAAATGGACAGCAGAAAAACCTTCAGAAGCTTTTGTGCATCAAAATTCTTCTGAAGGTTTCAAAAACCTTCAGGAAGGTCAAAAAGCTTCAGAAGGTCACCTTCTGAAGGTGCGAAAAAAAAAACTGTTTTTTTTGAAACAGGACCTGCATCCGTTTCGATTTTGTGTCTTTTTCAAAACTAACAGTCACTTTTGAACCTTCAGAAGATTTTTGAATTCTTCTGAAGGTTCTTCTGAAGAATTTTCTTCTGAAGGTTGTGGTGATTTTTTCCCTTACAGTCCTTCTATTAGTACGAATAGAAGTTTGCAGTTTTTCTTTTGCAGCTGTAGAAAAAAAAACAACTTGCAAGAGTTTCGACAGAAAGACTGAGACCGACGAGCGGCCAGAAGTTCCTACTTCCTAGTAGAAAAGCAACTTTAAGATTATACTCCAAACGGCCATCTCCGTCTCGCTTTCGCCCTTGGCTTCTACTGCGACATTTCTGCCGAGTTTCATGTCTTTCCAATCCTGTACGACGTAGCTCCCCTCGGTGACCACGTTGTCCACGCTGAACGTGCACACCTCGCTACTGGAGGTCATCAGCCCGTAGAACGACGAGCTGCTACTGCTCATCTGCGCCGCGAAGCTCCATATCCCGCCGCCAAACGGGTCGGCAAGCTGGTACTTCCGTATCGGCATGCTTTTCTGCACCAGAATCACCACGCCGTCCATGGTGGCGGCCGCGAGGAGGGAACTGGTGATGCACCGCAGGCTCGATATTGGCTGTTCGTGCTCGACCAGGACCGCCTCGGCGACCACGGTCTCCTTCGTCAACACCGATGTGCTGCTTGTCGCCGGCGTGGCGTACGCGCCGGACGCGGGCCCCGGGAACAGCGAGGTGGTGACCAGAATCTTGGGCAATTCCGGCTCCTCCTCCGGTTTGGCGTTTTCGTCGTCCGTCCCTCCGGGTGCAGCGGATTCCTCGCCGGCCTCCGCGGCGGGTGGTTCCCCGGTCGGCTCGGCCGCGGCGGATGCAGCCAGTTCCTGCTCCCGCTGCAGCAAAAGCGCCTTCACCTTTTCTTGCGCGGACAGAATTTCCGAAAAGGACAGCGAGCTGACCACGCCGTTGCAGTAGCCGACGTAGATCGTGTCCGGGTCCGCATTTGACATGGCGACCGAACACGGCTCGGCGCCGAGTTGCACGGGCGTAACGACCACTTTTTCCAAGAACCCGGTCTCCACGTTGCAGCTGCTGGTCGCCTCTTGCGTTGTCTTCCACGTCCAGAGCCGGTTACTGGCGGAGAGACTACTCGCGTAGGTCGCCGTTCCGACGGCCGCACACGTGCTGCTGAACGAATGATCGAGGGGAAAAAAAAAGCTACGCGCGACTCGTGGGAGCTTCTGTCATGCAAAGTAAGTTGTAAAAGTACCACATTTGCGTTTCCGTCTTGGCTAAGTGCCTGAAGATGAAGCCACAAGAAGAGACCATCGTGAAGATGTCGTCTACGAACGTCGACTGTTTTCAGCACAACTTTCCTTTCTATTATGAATTAACGTTCCGCCAGCTATTTAATCAGACGAGCTATGCTAGCAAATTTTTCGCCTGATACGCGTCGGAACTGGCGGATGCGACGTCCTCCACAGCGCAGGAGTCCAGTTCCACCCCATCTGGGTCGGTGCCCAGCGGTATTTTGCCGTAACACTTCAGCGCCTTTTTGTCCTCGACCGCGATTGCGAACAGGCTGCACCCCTTCACACTGTCAAAGGCCGACGCCAGCAACAGATTCCCGGTGCTGTTCCAGGCGAGTTGGGCGGAGAAGCCGAAGGACGCGAGCCGCACTGTGTCGAGCGTCTCGCAGTTCCCGCTCGGAAGCAGCTTCAGCACCCGGATCACGCCAGACTCGGTGCCGACCAGAAGGCTGCTGTTGGCCCCGTCCGCCGCGAGCGGCGCGATGGTGTTGATCCCGTAGGGCAGACGGACGGTCTTGACCGCCCCGCTCTGCGCCACGCTCTGGATCAGCCCGGTCTCATCCGCCGTTACGAAAGAATTGTCCGCGTCGTGTGGGTATGGAGTGGAAATAAAGCTGAATTTCTGTTGTACTCGTACAACATCGCTGAGTAAACTTAGGTCAGAACTCACCTCGTCAACCGATCGTGCGCTGCAATTATTTCTGCAATTTTTACATAGCATGACGAATGCAACAGAATACAACTTCTTTTCCAACGCATAAGAGGAAGCAGCTCGCGGTGATGAAGTTGACGTGGCACTTGGAGAGAAATTTCCAGTCCAGTGCTAGCTCTTCGGCTTCGCCAAGGATGTCTTCTTCCAATTTTCGTGCGACCTCGTCGAGCTCCGGCTGCGTCAGCAGGGAGAACTTGAACAAGGCCCCGGACGCGGTGGTGACGAGCGCGAACGAGTAGTCCGGGTTGGGCTGCAAACTGGTCACCGACCCGGAGGCCGCCAGTTCCGGGGACGCGGCACTGTCGCTGATGTAGCACATGCGGAACAAGTCGGACAAGTTGTTCAAGTTATTCTCCTATGCATTGGAAATATGTCTGGGTCTGGAAACTTGTAATGCACGTCAGTGAATACTAAGCACTCTCACTAAGCACTCTGAGAGTGCTTAGTATTCACTGACTCTCAGAGTGCTTAGTATTCACGACTCTGTAATGCAGCGCCAAGCATGACAGATTTTTTCGTCGCGTTGTGTTGCGTACTCCGCACGAGAAACTGCATTTCTGCATGACAGGCAGAGGGAACTGTTCGTGGCCACGCAACACAGAGTCATGCCAGACAAGCATGACAAATCTCGCAGTCTTCCAGACCCAGACATATTTGCATGTCATATCTCCTCCTCCGCGTCGTACAGCCAGTACACGAAGTACTGCTTCTATGCAAGAAAAAAACTGTGTAAGTGTAACTCTGTAATGCAGAACATGCAACAGAGTTACACCTGTCATGCCAGACAGCCATGTAGTCCTGTCTTCCTGTGTGTTTTGCCTTACAATCCACGCATGACAGGTTTTCTCTGTCATGTAAAGCAAATTTGTGATGCTGCCAGCCAAAGAAAGTTACACTAACACAGTTTTTTTCTTGGATAGCTTCGTGTTGCCGTTCGGCAGCGCCACCTCGTGCGTGGCGACCAGGAAGGAGGACATGAACATCAGGTTCGTCACGTAGCTATCCTATGTAAAAACGTCCCCACACCAGAGTCAAGGGATCTCGCAACACAAATCGAGAAATTTTGGGGGTCCAGCATGACAAGTTCGTCTCTGTATTGTAGTGCAGTTTAGCAAGCACAGCCGCAACACAAATCCATCTACTCATCCTGTCGACAGCATTACAAAGCGCAAAACGCGATTGAAAATGCCTCTCATGTGGATGCGCACTACAAATCTTCCTGTAGCTGCAAATCTGCATGACAACTCTAGGGTGGGTACATTTTTGCTCAGGATAGTAGCCGTTCACCAGCCGCTCGTCCTCGACGGCCGAGAGCGAGCGCCACGTGTACAAAATCATCCCGGTGTTATGGAGTGTAAAAATGTCTGGGTCTGGAAACTTGTCATGCTGACTGGCGTAGCATGAGGAGGCCACAAGTACTAGCTCAGCATGACAAATTTCTGAGCTTGTAGGTGTTGCCTATTCTGCATGACAAACTGCGTCTCCGCATGACAGAGAAAAACGTCTCTTGGGCAATGTGCATGACAGATTTAAGAGTCATGCCAGACAAGCATGACAAACATGCATTCTTCCAGACCCAGACATTTTTACATTTGATAGGTGTCCTTGCACAGCAACAACACCGCGTTGCGCGTCGAAACCAGGAACCGACCTCGCGGCGTCCACGTGTACCTGAGAAGTAGAGCGCGTCGTCGGGGTATTGACTAACTTCTATTAAAGTGGCACAAGTATGTTTGTACTAGATTCCACTTTTCCACACTGAAGGAGACCGCAGATTGCACAAACCAAGCGACTAAACAAGTGGGTGCGCTTCCTTGCGGCCCCGTTGACGTCGGCTAAAAGTAAAAACAAAACCCTGTATCAGTACCCTTCGAGCGGTGCGAGCATCTCGGAATCGCCCAACTCCGGGATGCTGTTATCGCAGATGGTGACGATGTAACGCTTGAACCGCCGGGCTATACGCACCAGCTGGCACACTCGCCGGGCGCTGTTGCAGAGAAATACTCGGTCCTTGTCCAGCGGCGAAACGAAAAGCCGGTCCACCTGGTACCGCTGCAGCGCAGTTACGTTTTCACATCCGGGGAGCAAGCTGCCGTCCGCCGTGCTGTAGATCAGCAGCTTCGTGGCGGTCCTGTTTTGGTTTTTCTCTTTTGCAGAAGCTCTACCTTTACCTTTAGTACTTGGAAAAGTGAATACTAAAAATGCAACGTGGTTGCGCAACCTCCAGCCAAAGACGAACTAAACCGGAGATGGCTGACGAGCGACTTCTGCATGCATAGTGTATGTTTGGCCACGGAATTGCCGCTCCCGAGTTCATCTCACACGAGGGCACTTGCCGGACGAGAAGCAACCGCAACCAACGAACCGGATAACATCAAATCAGCAATTCCAAATCCTTACGAGCTTTTCCCCAGCGCAAAGAGCCTGGATGCGCAGGCGGAAAATTGTAGGTCGGGGATATCGAGCTCCGCCGCTTTTGGGATGACGAACTCGAGAGCACGGTTTTTGAAAACGTAGATGCAGGGAAAGATGCCGCTGGTCGCCAGCGCGACGTAGGGACCGGTCGCGGCGAGGCATTTCGCGGCAAAAACGCCCTCGGGGAGGGGCACGAACTCCCGAGTCTCCGTCGCGGTATCGAAAAAGCACAGGTGCCGCCCCGCAACGTACACAACCGTGCTGGTGCCGCAGAAGGCACAGCTCAGCAAGCTCGGCGTGCTGGTGTAGTGCAGCGCCGCACTCGTGAAGATGCTCTTGGGCGCCGTCATTTCCAAAACGGGAGAGGATGCACAGATCCTAGTTGTACACTTCTGCTCCTAGAACCACATCCTGCCTGCCTTCTCTGGAACGCGAGGCCCGCGCGCCATGCTGCTGCCTTGTTGCAATACGGATTCGACAGTATCAAATTGCTTTTGTTTTCTTCCTCATGCGAAGCAGCGATATATCTATCACGTTTAAAAATATTCCAGTGGACTTCTGCAGTTGCGCGCTTTTCGCTGGGGATTGACGCAGTGAAATGTTCGGAATACGGCGTGGAGTAGAAGTTAGAGAGACCAGGGACTTGAAGTGAGCCCACAGATCAGAGTGCGTAGTTTTGTCAACGATTAGAAACAGAGAAGGCATGAACGAGCAGCACGAGAATGCAAGGCCCTTCTTGTTCAACGAGACGACAACGCCAAGGCGCGACGATGTACAGCCTCTCCTCTCACTTCTCGCGCTCCTACAACAGGTTCTCCACGACAGTGGTTCACGTTTCGCTCAGCACCCTCTAGCTCGCTCTCGAGTTTTGAAGTCACGATAAGTTCATCAAATAGAGACGACGCAGGACGCAAATAAATAAAAGTAGCAAGCGATAGATTACAAGCAGGAGGTGGGATGCACGATGGTAACCGCATAAAACTAAACGGAAACGGACCGAGCCGTTTCCGCGTCTTCTGGCGCAGCCACATTTTCGGCTTCCCGGTATCGGCCACGGCTCCCGGGTATCGGCGATCTCCGGCCGCCGAGAGCAGAGTGCTTTTGCCTCCCGCCCTCGCATGCAAGCGGCGATGGGAGAGTGCGACAGGGTCCGTGTGGGAAGCACCCGGAAAGACTACCCGCGGTGGCTGTTATCATACTGCGCACGCCGCCCCGGAGCCCCAACCACACGACAGGCCGGATGTCTGCCCGTGTAGGATCAGGAAAAGCGCGCGCTCTACTGAAATCGCACGACCGCGGTGGGCCTACGAACAGGCCGGAGGCTCAAAAGAGAGCCGGGACCAGGTGCTAAGGAGCACCGGGACCCGGTGCTGCGGAGCGCCGGGACCCGGTGCGGAGGAGCGCCGGGACCAGGTGCCGAGGAGCGCCGGGACCCGATGCTGAGGAGCGCCGGGACCCGGTGCTGCGGAGCGCCGGGACCCGGTGCTGAGGGGCGCCGGGACCCGGGCGGAGGAGCGCCGGGGCCGGCACTACGAATTGCAAAAAGGAGCGCCGGGACCAGGTGCTAAGGAGCGCCGGGACCCGGTGCTGAAGAGCGCCGGGACCGGGACTACAAATTGCAAAAAGGAGCGCCGGGACCAGGTGCTAAGGAGCGCGGGGACCCGGTGCTGCGGAGCGCCGGGACCCGGTGCTGAGGAGCGCCGGGACCGGGAGTACAAATTGCAAAAAGGAGCGCCGGGGCCAGGTGCTAAGGAGCGCCGGGACCCGGTGCTGAGGAGCGCCGGGGCCGGTGCTGCGGAGCGCCGGGACCAGGTGCCGAGGAGCGCCGGGACCCGATGCTGAGGAGCGAAGGG